AATATATAAATAGTTGATTACGCAATGTGATCGGTCATCATAACTGCAGCAACTTTAAGCTCCATAGCATCCTGCTTGACAAGTCCGTTTTCAAATTTGACTGCGTTCAGGTAATCTGGTTGATCACCGGCTGCAGTTGGGGTTCAAGTCGAAAGCACTTACTTTGTGCTAGTATAATTGTTCTATTGCACACAAGTTAAAATAAAGCAGCCAGCACACACTGACTTTTTACTTTACTTTTATGTTAGTTAGTGGAGGCCTCCGCCTCTCTTTAAAGGGCCACGAAACCCCCTCGTTTCAGCAGGGTGTTTTCACACCTCTACTTTGGAAAAAGTCAGAAAAGCTACACTGCTTCACTGCGAGATGTATCGTTTTTTTGATACATGCTTCGAAGCCTCGGCGCACAACGTCACATCACTACCCTCCACATTTCCCGGAAACTTAGATGCACACGGGAGGTAGTGTCAGAAAGCCGCGTGTGTTATTCCAGTCACAAAATGCGGTGAAAATCCTACACGAGGTTAAAGTTTGGTTGTGGTGCTTACATGTTTACACTCGGTGCAATAGTTAGTTCGATACGAACAAACTGAATAAACAAAGAGCACTGGTCGCTCACTTACCAAATCTGTAGAGACAGGACAATCACCAGCAACTAGAGCCGCATCTTTATTAAGAGGAGACTACAAGCGAATCCGGATCTCAGCGTTTGCAGATGAGAACAGCTCTCAGGTAAACAATGTTCCTCCTTAGACAGGTAAGTTATTGTTGTCGAGCGTCGCGTACACTGTTAATCCACACGTGACTCTGAGCTCTCACAGAGAGAATATGAAAACAAAGCTTAACTGCAGCAAACTATAAAAGCAACACGTCACGCTTGTTTTGCCTATACAACGTGGTGTCTCTGTCGTCTAAACACTGTGACAGTAATGAATATTAATGAAGTTGCACAATAGAGCGCGCTGATTGGTTTGAACCAAGCCTTACTCATGCATTAATTCGGCACACTCTGAGACGTAATAAGGCCCACTCTGGTACAGACGTCCAGTCTTCACGCTGGAATACACACTATTATCTCATGGCCGTGACGCAGCTTCAAAAATTTGTTTCAAACCAGAAGCACGAGTTTGCTTGAAATAAAGCAAAAACAACCAATTTACACATTTGTTAGTGAAATATAGGTGTCTTAATAGTGTTTTTAGCAGTGTGGGACACATATACAATTGTCAACAACTCAAAAAATGTGTTTTGGTGTTTCGTGACCCTTTAACACATGGAAATACGAGAATCTTTTTCATTATAAAATATAATTACATCAAGTTATATAATGCAGGCTTAGGCCTACATTGGCCATAGATTAGAAATGCATTAAGCTGCTCATAAATTGGTGCCTTTGGCAATTTCTGCAGCTTGGTGTGAGCCGATCAAAAAGGCTGGCATTGTCAACAGCTTTATTTTGCATACAGGAGGGAGATGGGTTGTTGCCTGTAACTTCTCATTTTGCACGTCTGTCTAGTCATATATGCAGCAGGGCACCTGTTCTGTTGAAGTATTTGCCTAACTTACAACGGTAGAGCGAGGGCCAGTCATGCCCCAAAGAATGAAGAAGTTGTGGAAGGCTTTAGTTTATACACAAGGTGTCGGCGAGTCTGCAGTTAATGGGAAAGTCAAAAAGTCTTTTCTTCACGGCGGTGAACCAGTGCGCCAGAAATGAGAACCACAAAGTAGTGGTGATCGGTGTAGACACAAAAGATTTGTTCAGTGAAGCCGAGAAAAGCAGAATCGCTGTCCCTCTGCAGAACATCCAACGCTGCTTGAGTAAGTTTGGTTTCAACCATCTCGTGGATTAGTCGAACTGCAGCACAACTTGTGATGTCACTGCCAGGTTTGACTAACGGCGCTCTTTTGTCTAGATCTCTCAAATATGGATGAATTCGACGTGGTCTGCACCGCCGGGACCAGGGTGGAGGCCGCCACCCTGACATTTTTGTGCCGTGCACCATAGTAAGAGGATGACCTTGGCCAAGGTCAAGGTACCCGAGCAAAAAGTGTGGGTCACGACTAGTTTGAGGTGCCTCCAAAGCGGACAATGCACTTTATCTGCCTTTGTGTGCTACAGGTGAGAGAAGACCAAGAGATGTTTGCCCTGGTGAGATTCTATCCTGTGACCATGGCTGAGCTAACTGGTGATGCCCGCTTAGAAGCAGATCACAGCGAAGTGACGTCCGCCCAGCTCGGGTGCCATGCAACGGTTCAGGAGAAAAAACACTTCCCTGATTTCGTTTCAACGCTCAAGCTGTTCTGCATGTTGTTTTTTGTTGTTGTTCAATAAATGTTTCCCTATTTGAAAATGTAGTCCTAGTTGTTAGGTCTTTATTTAATTGTATTGTTTTTTTTTTTTACTTTACATTATTGGGCAGGGAAAAACTGTTTAAACTGAAAAAAGGTAAAAAAAAACAAAAAACTTGCAAATCCAAAAACAGGAAAAATAAACAAATCTTAAATTTTAAACTTGTTTTTTTTCGTAACAACTTGTTTTATTTAAAATGTCTTGCAGGTAACTTTGCTTCTGGTAATAATATTGTTAAACAAAGACAATATTATTATTCTTATGGTCTTCTTCATTTTAATTGTTTTAAAAGTTTAAATAACAAATTAATTCATTTTCTTTTTGGTCGCCAAAGCGGAATTAACGCCTGAATAACAAATACATTCCTCAAAATAAATAAATTAGGCCTTTGAACAAATTAAATATATTTCATGTTTTTGTGTGTTATTTTTGCTTTATGCTGTTAAATCGGTTTGGCGTGTCTGTGTCTTTATTAGGGGGAAAAAATTTAATTTGCACAAAGCTTGGGTTAGTGGAGGCGTTTGTCTTGTTTTAACACATAGAAATATGAGAATCATAATGATATTCATAATACAATGTCCTTACATCAAGCTATATAATACCGGGCTACACGTGGCCACAGATTTTCTTTTGAATTAAATTTTTATTAGACTAGAAGAGGTGGCATGGTAGTTAGGCTAGTGGTGCTGGCCTGGGCTATCTTTTGAAGGTGGGGCAAAAGTCTCTTTTTGTGGAGCCTTTGCTGGTCGCCGGCTTTGGTCACCTGGTGTCTGCTTCTTCTTGCTGTCGGCAGGGGTGCTGCCGGTGCCGGGGGACTCCTTTGGACTGGGCTTTGTCTCTGCCTCAACTTTTTGTTGTGCGGTAGGTGGCGCCTGCTCATCAGCGGTTGGTGCCTGCTGTCTGGCTTTAGTTGTTTGTCACCCTCTAGTTCGTCATCACTTGTTAGGCTATTGCTTCCTGGTCTAGATTCTGGATTGTCATCATCATCGTTGACATCCCCTTCATCGCCGCTTAAGGAGGATGAGTCACCGCTCTCTGGACCCTCTTCTTCGTCTGCGTTCTCAGCGCCACCACCCTCTTCAGCAGCTTCACATCCATCCTCCTGTAGGCTTTCAAAACCGTCCCCAGGACATTTATCATCATCGTTCTGATCGTCATCATCGTCAGGCCCTTGGCCCCCATCATCGCCCCCTCGACATGGTCCTCTATGGTGCCCTCTCTGAGGCGGCTGCTCAGGTTGATCCGGATGACCATTCATCCCTGCCATGTCCCCCAAGTTAGCAGGACATTCAGCTACTAGATTCATCATCGCAGCTTGGTGATCAACTTCTTCAGCTGACATAGGACGATCTATGTCCGCCCCCGTCAGGCGGGAGCCAACTGCCTGGGCAAGAACCACCAGGAGGCGGACAGCGTGGGTGGGAATAAACCCAGTCATCGGCACTTAATATGAGGCATTGCCTCGCCATCGACGAAGTGGCTGAAATTTGCCCATGTAAGCTGCAGATCGGGTATGCCTAGTGCTTCTCTAACAAATGGGATTGTGGGAGTTAAGTTCATGATGCATGTGATTTTTGCGGTCGAGATGGTCCTGCTAAACGGCGAATGCAACAATGGTCAGTATTATAGACCCGACAGCAATGTCTCTGCACAAGCTATCTATAAGAAGGCCAGCGATGACATAAAGAAAGCGTAGCTGATCCGCAAGTGTAACCTTGTCCACCCACCCGGTGCTGTACAAGGTCCCACACATCAGCCCCTTGGGAAGCGGCCTGGCCTGCGCACCTGATGTGATCTAGCCCATTAGCGAACCAGAATGCATCTTGCAGAGCCACTGTGTTATTTATGAGGTTTTGTTATGGAACACCTACAGCTCATTTCTTGGTAGCTCAACAGTTGACTACATGGTCACAAATTTAGATCTGTTCTTTTTCAGTGCATTCACTGTTAAACCCCTAACATCTCTATCAGATCACAGACAAATTACACTTTATATTAAAAAGGAACAAGAATACTAATATACATTCACATTCCAGTAAATTGTATAACATTAAATATAATTATAGATGGGTTTAAGACCCATATATTATATATATATACCCTGCTGAAAAATCCAGCTAAAACCAGCCAACCAGCCTAGGCTGGTTTAAGCTGGATTTTTTAGCAGGGATATATATATATATATATATATATATATATATATATATATATATATATATATATATATATATATATATATATATATATATATATTTTTTTTTTTTTTTTTTTTCTACTACTGCTACCGTTTACTGTGTTTTTATTAAATATGTATGTTCTTTTCATTTTATGTAAACTTTAGAACTGTGTTGGCAATACATTTGTAACATTTGTCATGCCAATAAAGAAATTATTGAATTGAATTAAGAGAGAGAGAGAGTAAAATAGAACCACGTAAAAGAAATGAAACATGCAAAAATAATTCCTTATAAAGCCAATTAAAACTAACAGGTTTTTAAAAGTGTTTTAAATTTAAATATGTGTTTATAAATTTATGTACGCATGCATTGTCAAGTGACAGCAGGTGGCGATATGCACCCAGATTGCACCACGCCAAAAAAAACGAAAGAAGAAGAATAATAACGTTTCCGTTTCCGTTTACTCGTTGGGAAACGTTTAGCCAACACTGGGTGCAGTGAAGTCCAGATACATTTTCTCACTTTGTGTAAATAACCTATTTTATCATCAACGGTTGTTTTGGGTAAAGAAACAAAATTGAAAAGTTTAAATAAAAACGAGAAAGCTTCGTAGATCGCCGTGAACCATCTGGAGAGTGACAGAGGTGAGTTTTGTTTATTGGGATTCAGTTGGTTTGCAACGGAAACCTCTTTTTTAAACAATCTAATAGTAATAATAGTAATTTACGGCAAAATGTTTGAGTTGTAAATAACGTTATATTAAAATGTTATAGTTGTTTGTATATACTTTGTTTAAATCAACAACTCTTGAGGCCAATAATTTGGGGGGAAAGATAGAGGTAAAGTTGGATTTATATTCGGATATTGAGACATTCTCCTTAATAATTTAATGTCAGAAAAGTATTCTTTGCAAACTCTAAATAGGGAAATCATATTAGCAGCAAATGACTATTAAAGTACAACATTGTTTACAGTCAATTAGATAGTGTTAATGCTGTTTAGAAGTCATACTTGCAGGCTAATTCCGATCGAGTATTCAAAGTAACATGGTAAACAATATAGAGACTGCTAAATGAACAAATTTGCGAATATAAAACCAACTTTACCTCTATCTAAATAAGTGTAACGTACCATGCACACACTTTGCAGGCTGAAATCTGACATTGCCATAATTTCCTATTGTGTTTATTGCTATATGAATATAATTTCACCAGATTATTTCAATAGTTCTTGAATTTAGATTGATCGTCTGGTTCATACGGTCATGGAAAACCTGGAAAAGTCATGGTATTTTGACATGGCATTTTTCAGGCCTGAAAAAGTTTTGTAAATACAGAAAAACCCACAAAGTTTCTGAAAAGTCATGCAAATTAGTTTAACAAATATCTGTATGCTCTAATTAGGGATAGAGGTAAAGTTGGTTTTATATTCGAATATTCAGACATTCTCCATAACAATATAACTTAATTTCAGAAAAGTATTCTTTGCAAATTCTAAATGAGGAAATCATATTAGCAGCAAATGATTATCAAAGTACAACATTGTTCACAGTTAATTAGATCGTATTAATGTTGTTTAGAAGTCATACTTGCAGGCTAATTCTGATCGAATATTCAAAGTAACATGGTGAACAATATAGGGACTTCTAAATGAACAAATGTGCGAATATAAAACCAACTTTACCTTTATGAATTAGGGCTGTGCGATATTGGAAAAATCGGACATTTCCATATTTTGTAGTTCTGTGATCTATATTGCGATATGACTACAATTTCACCAGATGATTTAACAGGTTTATTTAGATTGATTGTGACTGATTTTGTTGAGGAGTGAATCTCAAATAATATATAACAAATAAATTAAAAGCATAGATACATAAAATATAGCAAAGAGGAAAGTGAATGAAAGTTTTCAGGTATTCACTATACAGGTACAGATACTGAATAATCAACACTGCATAGTCTTCATTGTATATTATTTAATCTTTATTAAAGAAAAAAAAAATTATTGTGGCCGGATGTTTCAAAATGTGAAATATTGAAATGCTCACACTTCACACAGTCACGGGCCACAAAGGGACAGTTTACTCAAAGATGAAAATGAATTCACTATTTACTCACATTTCACTTGTTTCAATCCTATAGGAGTTATTAAATTATATTATTTTTGTGTTTATTTAAAAAAAAAGAAAACTCATAAATGAAACAAGTGAAGGGTGTAATGGAAATGGTAATACATTTTTGGGTGAATTGTCTCTGTAAAAATGCATGCAGATGATAAACTTTTTAAATTATGATTAAACTATTAACTATATAATCTCAACGTTGCATATTCTGCGATGCGACTATTGCAGATGCACACGTTGCGATATCGATGCTGAAACGATTGTTCGAAACGATTGAAACGAAATGTTCTTGAAAGTTCTGGAAAAGTCTTGGAAAAGTCATGGAATATACATACATAAAAATATGTATGAACCCTGGATTGGGATGATTCTGTAGGGCGTTGAGTCACAGAGAAAATATAATAAGCCAATTACAAGCATAAATTAATACAATAGCGCAAAGATAAGAGTGTAGTTTGCAGCTTTATAGTTTTCAGTAGGTACAGAAATTGAATAATACAATGTAGTGTGAAGCAGTACTTTATAGTAATATTCATTGTATAAATAATTCAGTAAAACAAAGCTTTATTAAAGTAAAACATGTACTATTATTATCTTTGCCCAAATGTTTTAAACTTCCTTGAAATCCTTTTAAAATGCATGCAAATTATAAACTGTTTACTCACTTTCCTTTATGGCGTTGAGTCATACAGAAAATACAATAAACAAATTACAAGCATAAATTAATAGGATAAAGTAAAGATAAAAGTGTGGTAAGCAGTGGTTTTTAGTTTTCAAACAGAATTTAGGAACACAAATTGAATAATCAAATGTAATGTGAAATGACACTGTATACTGTGTATAGTCATCTTCATTGTATTATTCATTCATTTTCTTGTCGGCTTAGTCCCTTTATTAATCTGGCGTCGCCACAGCGGAACGAACCGCCAACTTATCCAGCAAGTTTTTACGCAGCGAATGCCCTTTCAACCGCAACCCATCTCTGGGAAACATTCACACACACACACTCGTACACTACGGACAATTTAGCCTACCCAATTCACCTGTAACGCATGTCTTTGGACTGTGGGGGAAACCGGAGCACCCGAAGGAAAACCACGCGAAGGCAGGGAGAACATGCAAACTCCACACAGAAACGCCAACTGAGCCGAGGTTCGAACCAGCCACCCAGCAACCTTCTTGCTGTGAGGCGACAGCACTACCTACTGCACCACTGCCTCGCCTTTCATTGTATTAATAGTTTAGTAAAACAAAGCTTTATTAAAGTTAAAAATGTATTATTATTATTATCTGTGCCCGAGTGTTTTAAACTTTGTTGAAAAGCCTTTTAAATGCATGCAAATTCTAAACTGTTCACGCACTTTCACTCCGTTATGGCTAAACTCTGCAGTGACTAATAACAAATGACAATGACAAATTGTATGTATTTTGAACTGGGGTGCTGGTGTGATATAATGCAAACTCAACATCGTAGATCCTGTGAATGTGACTATTGCAGATTCACACATCATGATATCAATGCTGAAATGATATATTGCACTACCCTACTTAGAAATATTATAAATACTCTATAAGTAATTACATTGATTCTGAGCTATTATTTAATTAGAAATATTTTTTTGTAGCAAGTCTATCCATTGACCACTGGCTGAAATAGTTGTCATGTTAAATTGCACTGAAAAGAATCACCTACATTATAAAGAGCAAATTAAAGGAGTACCATAAAATTTGGGATCTGTTTATACAATATTTGGAACAAAACCATATAATGGCACAAGCAAATACCTCTCACACTACTGGGTAATTGATTGATATGTGTATTTTTGTATGTGGAATACAGTATATGTTTTTATTTGCCTTAGCCCATGTATAACAATACATTTACGTGTTCAACTCAATTTGGATGCTTTAGGGGGGATAGGGTGAAGAGTAGAAATGTAAAAAAAAAATTTTATTTAATGGTAATGGTTAAATGTTTTTTTCTACTGTAAAAAATGTTTTTTTTTTTTTGAATATATATTTTAATGTATTCTCTGTAATACTAATCCAGACATAACACAACTGATCTTGGAAATAAAGAGTTCAAGGTTAAAAAGCAGAATTTAGGATGGCTGTACTTGCACTTTTTTGTCAATATTATCTGGTTAGATTGGAGCTTTCAAAAGTGTATAATGATGAATCTGAGCATTAGTTGTTATCGCACATTACACAGTTTTGTTTTGTTTGTTTTCTTCCTAGATTTTTCTCCAGGATGTCACTGCCTAAACGTGAGGTTGATGAACTGAGGCCATGGGTGGAACGCACAGTAAAGAAGGTCCTTGGCTTCTCTGAACCCACTGTGGTCACAGCAGCATTGCATTGTGTGGGAAAAGGCTTAGACAAAAGAAAAACCATAGGTAAGATGTTTATCTTGTATGTAATTTAGGTTTAATGGATAACAGCAGGTATAAATTGATGTTTACTAGCTCAGTATGGCTAGCTTAAACTAGTAACTTCACAGATATCAGCTTAAAGTAGAGATGCTTCGATCAGCATTTTTGGGGCTGATTACCAATCACCAAAATCATGATCTGCCAATCACATAATGGCAAGGAAATGGGAATCTTTTATCTATAATTTAGCAGAGTTTGCACCATTTGTAGAAATTAAACTAACTCTAAATAAACTATATAAAAAAACCTAGAAATTGGCTTAAGGCTACTTTAGGCCATCTTTCCCAAATAATGCAGAGTTACTAAATATTATTCCAAACAAAGAGGGGTCAGGCAGACCAACATACATCAGATCATCTTAATGGCATGTAGCCTCTTAATACACTGATTACATTTTATAATTGGCAGCAAAATGTGAAACTACAACAAAACTGGCTACTACCACAAAGGACAAAACTATGGCAACTGTTTGCCTTTTTTTTGTTATTATTATAACCCAGGAACCAACTACATTAGATCCAAAAAAAAATGTAATAATGTAGTAAGCTACTGTAAGCCAATGCCTTCCTTTCTAAATAACAAGGCAGAGAAACAAGGAGGAACAACCAGATGAACTAAAATCTAATGAATGAGTACTAGTACCTATTAAATAGATACTAGTATCTAATTAATAAGTACCAATACCTAATGATTAATTAGCAGTACATAAAAATATGTACCAGTCCCAGCTGGAATACATACTAGTCAAAACTGAATTTGATATCTCAATGACAGATCCCTTAGAAATCAATGGACAAATTTTACATCTGTTACTAGTAACAACAGAATAATTACTAGTCACTATTAAAATACTAGTGTCTAATGAGTAAGCACTAGTATATTTTTAAAAGCACTAGTATCTAAAGAATAGGCACTAAAGAATAAGCACTAGTATCTAATGAATAAGCACAAGTATTTAATGGAAAAGATACTAGTAAAGTATCTAGATTAAATGTTAAAACGGCTTGGCATACATGCACAGCAAGTTGGAGGGTGTGTGCCACACACACGCACACACGACAGGTCAGGGAAATCTACGTCTCATTGTTTCTGCGTGTTTTTAGCGTTGTCTGTTAAAATCGCTTGGATTTTTTTTCTCTTTGGGTCTCCCGTGACTGAAACATGTCGCTAAATGCGTTCACCAAAGCCTCCGCAAAATGTGATCCTGACAGTGTAGCACAACCTTGTGTCTATCGAAGTTTGAGTCAATAAAGTGTGCTGTTAAGCTAAGCAGGGACATTGGACAGGCGTCTGCTCTCCATATATCACAGGTTGTTCGTCGAGGCAAATGAATTTCATGATTCTGAACGCGATGTCTTTCCACCTCATATTATCCCTGCTGTATGTTCCACGTCATTTAATCATACTTCTCATACTCGGCATATTCAGTTGTATGGCGTGTTCTAAGATGCCTAATCATGTTAGTGGTGTTAAAATGACGTTGCTTGCTTCCACCTCGAGGGATTTTATCACGACATACATTGTAAACGTCAGACTTTATGTCTTTATTGGACACTTTGAAAAAGACGGGGGAACTCATGTGGCCACTGGTCAGCTCCGCTCTGCTATTGTTTATCCGTGCGCCGTGCATGCACGTGTGAAAAAGTCATGCGAGTAATTTACATCAAGTGATCGGCTTTTTTGATCTGCATTTTTTTGGTTATCCGATCAAGCTATTTTTAGCCAAAATCGACCGATCGTGATTGGTGGGTGTGTACTGGAACTCTGTCGTCTTTGATGTGCAAATTCTTTCTCTTCACTTGTTTTTTTTATTTCACGCTACAGATGTATCTGCACCTGTACAATTGCTTGCAGAGATATTTTAAAGACTTTTAGGGGTCATATACTGGACAAGAAGCCCAAATCGATGGGCCATATCTGTTTTATGATAGAACATGTACCCGCTGTGACATTTGGTGTCTGTCTGTGACAAACAGTTAACAAAGATGTGGTGGTGTTTTTTGTATAGAAGGCTGGTTGCCAGTATATGAAACTGTTTGCTGATGAAGACAACTCATGATTCCACTTAATCATGGCATAATCTTTTGTTTGTTGTGAATATACATTCTCTAGCTGTAAAGCTGCAAACATTGCTTATTGTGCATTTAAGAACATGCATGTGAACCCTTTTAATGACCTCCTTTTTTTTTTTAGATCAGCTAAGACCATTTCTTGATGATTCGGCAAGCAGTTTCGTTGAGCGTCTGTTTGAAGCTCTCGAGGAAAGCAGAAACTCTCGTGGAAGTAAAGGAAGTGGAGAGAAAAACCGCAAAAGAGAACTAAAAGTATACAATGTTGAGGCTTTGATTTGTTATATGTTCTTTTCTGAATCTCGTACTTAAAGGAGAAATTAAAAAACTTTTCTGACTTTTTTTCAACCTCTGTTTAGGAAGTGTTTGGAGATGAGATGGAAGGGGTGAAGGATGTAGTCAGTGTGGAATCAGCAGTAAAAAAGAAAAGGGTGCCCCGCTTTGAGGAGGTGGAAGAACCAGTTGTTTTACCTGGTCCCCCGACTGAGAGTCCTGGCATGCTCACTAAGATTCAGGTAAAATTCGCACTCGTGTTTGCTGAGGTGACAGGTCTTATGGTGTGGCACCAGTAATGTTCAGCAGCGTCTTAATCATTTTATTTTGAATAATTGCTATTATTATCTTAAAATGCTACTTTACATGTACTTACACCAGTTAAAATAACTATTGAACTGGTCATGATTTTTTGTGGTAAATTTATTTCTAAAGGAGCTGTTGACAAAAAAAAAAAAAAAAACTTGAACATACAAATAAAACAAAACAAATCTGAACAATTTGTTGTGCAGCAGAATGACACAAGGGAAAAGTACTGTTGAATTGTAGTTAATATTTTGTATAAAAGGCCAACAGAGTCAAAAAATATTGATGGTTTTGTGGGTCTCTTTATTTTTAGTACTTATTTTATAGCCAGTTGATTGGCCGGGCCATTCAAGCAGATGTTTATTTATTTTTTAAACCAGGGGCCTGTTTCAGTAAAGAGGTTCAACCAACTCTGAGTTTAAGCTTGAACTCTCAGTTGACTTACAGGGGGTTAAAAACTCTGGGTTTTCGGTTTTAGAAAAGCTGATCTGAGTTGGGTCAATCAACTTTAAGTAGACCAGCTCAGAGTTGAGCTCACACACCGAGACTATAAAAAGGCGTTATTAATGGAGCACAGATATTACGAGTGACTATGGCAACATCTTAAAAAAGAGATCACCATTTCTTTCTCCAGATGAACTTAATGTGCTCATGCAGAGTTATAGCAAATATGACTATATATTTTAAAAAGCAACACCACTGCATCAGTGAAATGGAGACAGTTAGCTTGGAAAAACAGCTGCTCAAGTTAATGCGTAATTTTACATTTAAAGTATTTAAATAGTTAAGTGTAATAAAATAAGTAATGTTATGTGTGACGTTTATAAAAAATTTTTACACACGTTCCCACTTTTATACACGTTGATCAGTTTTAATAGATTTAAAAGTCCACTTGCGTGTCTGCCTTTTATAATTGATTAAGTGATAGAGGTTGATAGGACATTTAGAATGTAAGCAGATTTAAACAATAGTTATTAGAAAGAATAATAATTTGGTTAATTTAGTTACAGTACATGTCAAAAGTCAGTGAATATAAGCTAATTATTTATTAAAAAAGGACAACGCATTCTCGTACGAGACTTTGTTCTTTGTGTGACTGAAATGTAGGCAATAGCTATGTTTCCATCCAAATATATTAATTACATTTATGTGCAAAACTGGAATAACGCATAAAAGACAAGCGAATAAAGCAGCGTTTCCATCTAACGAGTCAAAGAGAGCAAAGTCGTCACTTGCTGATTAAACTGGTGCCAAATATCAACAGTAAAAACAGAATTTACTGTGGTAGAAGATGCTGCGTCTTCTTCTTTTCTTCATTTAATAAATGTACTTGCGCCTCGGAAGACAATATTGACACACAATGAACGCGTTGTGGCGTTTGAAGCCATGAGACGCAGAGAACAGACGCTTTTGACACGCTCCAGGCGCTCTGGAGGTAATTAATAATATAATAACATTAATTCTGAAACGGTTAAGGCCTTTTAGAATGAATGACCAAAACAACATTTAAGATGTGTTGCAGTGTGCTCAGCCTGCTGGTTTGTTCATTCACACACATTTCAATTAAAATATGATCTCTTATTATTTATATCGAATAAAAGTTTATCCTACGCAGTTATGTGCATGTTTTTTTATGCATATTTTTAAAAGCTATGTGCTTCATGACGTTTCTATCAATCGTTTTTTAGGCGCATATTCAAAATGAGCATTAAATTAGGTGGGTGGAAACGTAAGGCTAAGGCGAGAAATACCGCTTCGTCTTTAAAAAAAGAGGAGAAGACCGACTGAAACTCAGAGTTTAGAGAATAAAACCTGCTCCTGACAAGGTTAGGTTCACAGAGGAAGTTATCACGGTAACTGACTCTGAGTTAAAGTTACCTCTCTTTCAGAAACAGGCTTGACTTACCCTGCTTTCTCCAGTTTAACAAACCTGCCATTTTGAAACGGAAAACCCAGAGTTTTCACTTAATTTTTCTGAAACGGGCACAGATGTGTTTGATTAGGGTTGAAGCTGAACTTCAACCCTAGTCACTTCAGGACACCGGCCTACAAGACCGTTTGGACATCCCTGCAGTAGGACAAATGAAATGATCTGTTGAAGAACAGAAACACATGGTTTATTGGTGACACCACAAATGAGTTGTGCTCCTGAGCCACAGTATTCTTAAGTTTTTGTCATATACTGGTTTTTACCTTGCATTGTTTTTGCAGAAATTATTTATTTGCTTCTAGATCAGTGTTTCTCAACCATGTTCCTGGAGGCCCACCAGCTCTGCATATTTTCCAGGTCTCCTTGACCAAACAGACCTGATTCAGATCATCAGCTCATTAGTAGAGACGAGCTACATGTAATGGGTGTGACGGACAAAGGAAACATCCAATATATGCAGTGTTGGTGGTCCTCCAGGAACATGGTTAACAAACGCTGATCTAGATTGATTTTCTTTTTATTTTATTAGTCAAGTTTTTATTATTGTTTTTTTTTCCGTCAAATGAATGAATTTCAGTTATACAAGTGAATCAGCCCAATCCCCAAACTAAAAAAAAAGTTCCCCCAGTTTAAAATTAAATAAGTTTACATCACTTGTTTTTGTTGTTGTTGCCTTTGTTGCTGATATGGGAATAAACAATTTCTTTCATGTACTGCCTACACAAGATTTTAATACCATGAATAATTTTCTGTCTTCAGATAAAGCAAATGATGGAAGCAGCCACACGACAGATTGAGGAGAGAAAGAAACAGCTAAGTTTTGCGGCTCCTACCCCCTCTTCGCAGGTAAATACCTGATTTATAGTGACTGACTTGTACCTATCTGTTTGTTTGTAGAAGCTGTTAAGGAATCATAAAAATACAATGAAAAAAAATCTAACCCTGAGATATGTTGTATGATTAACACTAAAACCGCCAAGGCACATTGTATATCTAAATATATTTTTTAAAATAGATAGATTTGGTTTATAAATAAATAAATAAAAACATTATTTTGACATAATTATTTTTGACAATGCATCACTGCATATGATAAATGATGTAATGCCAAATTCAAATGCACAGTTTTTCCTTAATAATTATGCTTTGTTTAGTATTATAAAAAAATATTATAATTTATAGTTTAAATAAGAGAACAACTCCAATAACATTTGAACCTTTGTTAGTTGGCCAAAACATCTAAATTTGAAAATGTTTTGTGTCTCGGGTGCTCTGGATCAGCTGTCAGATGAGCAGTCAGATACTTATGTGACCTGGACAAATTACATATTTCACCACCATAAAACTCTCTATTATTTACAAAATGTTGTGCTTTTAATACCTCCACAAATTTGCTTGTTTTGCTCACTGCGACTTTATTAATTTATTTATGATAACCTTTAATTCAGTGAAATGCGTTGCCTAGCAAAGTATAAAATGAAGACATAAGCAGTGCATAAATCTAGGTATTATATAGCGGGTAAATTTGACTCTAGCTTGCGCTTATTAATGCCCTGCTTTTTGATCTGGTTTTATTGAAACATTTTCCGCATCAGGCAATTCAATTAGAGAGTTTTAGTTAAAGTCAATGACTGGGAGGCTTGAATGTTTTATTAAAGGTCTGTTATGTACATTTAAAAAAAGAAACTTGGTGGTTCTAGTGTTCTAGTGTTAATTTTCTTCACAGATAGTCTAAACAGCGCTCATTTAATCTTCAAAACTTTTAACCAATAGGATTAAAATTTTAAATGTTAGCACATTTTAAGTAGAATGCAGTCTTTGATTAACATTAAATTTCCATCAATATTTTAAAGGGTTTGTTTACATGTGCAAATAGCAGGATTAAACCTACAGTACTTTGAAGAAAGAAATTAATGACCTAAAGATAAGTACAATATGCAGGTATACATCATGTGTAACTGCGTCAACAAATAATACAGTATACATGTAATATCCAGTGTAAGGGATGTCCATTGTAAGGAAAATTTCAAAAGTGACTTCAGTTTCGCATCAGTTTGGCTCATTTAATCTAGAAGAAAGGTAACATTATGTGGCTGGGGTACTAAGATGGCTAATTCAATTTATTTGATTCCTTTTTCTATACCCGAACAAGAAAACTTAACATCTAGAAGTTCAAGAAGGATGTACATATTTGTTGCTTTTAACTCTGCTTTGGTAAAATGGCTTATTTTAGTAACTGTTTAGTAACTAGCACAGCCTCTGCTTTTGGTAAGTTAGATAGCACTAAGTTTAGCTAGCTTGTACTTATCAGTGCCTTTCTATATTAAGCTGGTAAAATGTAAGTTTAAAATTGAATCTTACTTTTTGGTATATTAGAAATGTTGTTCCTGGATGTTTTCATCTGCCATTCTGACTACCTTAACATGAGGCTTCTTGCACTTGCTTAATGATCTGTAATATAGAGGTCTGCATTTTCCAATTCTTTATCTGAGATATGTTGCTTTCTGTCTTCCCTATAGTCAAGATTAAGTGCTTCTCAGACAGACTCTAGTACTCCACGATCTATGAACCAAGCAGGGGGTGCAACCCAGTCCATCGCTCCTTCTCAGGCTGCTAATTTCATGAATGATGCTATAGAAAAAGCACGCAAGGCAGCAGAGCTGCAGGCCAAGATCCAATCTACACTGTCCATGAAACCAGGAATTCTGGCTACTGTGGGAAACCCTGGACCACATAATATGGTAGCACTGGCCAACCTACACGCCATGGGCATTGCACCACCGTGAGTATTGGAGAATTTAGAAAGATTATGTTTTGATAAAGGAATTGAGCTCTAAAAAAATATAAAGTTAATATTTTCTTATATCTGCTTAAAGTAAAGTCGAACCTCGCGAGATCACAAAGCCAACACCTCTCATTTTGGATGAGCTCGGACGAACTGTTGATGCCAGTGGGAAAGAAATTGAGCTCACACATCGTATGCCCACTCTCAAAGGTGCCACAGTCTACCACAGAAATATGAATCTGGAACATTTCACTGATTAGAAGTCTATTTTTGTTCATGTTCTGTTTTTTTACTTCTGTCTTTAGCAAACATCAGAGCTGTGAAGAGGGAACAGTTTCGACAACAGTTAAAAGAAAAGCCTAGCGATGACCTAGAATCCACATCCTACTTTGACCCACGTGTGGCCCTTGCCCCTGCACTAAAACCCAAAAAAGGCTTTAGGTTCCATGAACAGGGGCGCTTTGAGAAGATAGCCCAGCGCATACGCACCAAAGTAGGCAACAGCATGTCCATCGAATTGATTCAAAAATTTAATTGGATAATTTCAGATTTTTTTATGAATTTTATCTTCTGTCACCAGGCTCAGCTGGAAAAATTACAAATGGAGATTGCTCAGGCTGCCAAAAAGACTGGAATACAGGCCTCCACTAAACTGGCTCTTATTGCCCCAAAGAAGGAGCTGGGAGAGGGGGAGATTCCTAATATAGAGTGGTGGGACTCCTACATACTGCCCTTCCATATAAACCTGTAAGAGCCAACAGTTTGTAATCTGCTCTAGACTGGTATTAAATGTACTTGACAAATTCAGAAAAAAGGTTTTGAGAGAATGGTTTTAATACAGTAACAAAATGATTGTATTGCAATTAGGGTTGAGTTAACTAGAGTTGGAATTGCGATTTTAAAATGTTGCAAATTTAATCACAAAAAACTGAAATGTGACAGTGCAATGGAGTGACGTCGTCTCCTTAGTCAGAGTGATCATATAAACTCTTTTTTTTAATCATATAAAGATTTAATTTATCATTTAGAGTTTAATTTTTTTAGGTGATTGCTAACCAAATCAATTAGCTGATGATTTGCTTATTCTTAAAATCATATAATCAAAACTATTACCAAATAATAATATATAGATTTGCTTTTGTTTTTTGTGAAGCACACACAATGCATTTAAAATAATGATTACAAATGTTAGGGCTGGCTGATATCTGGTTCTCCTATATCGTGCAGCCCTAACACACACATACACATTGGCTGCATTTACATAGTAAAAAGTAATTGGATATCACTTAGAACAATTAGATTTTTTTTTAAATCCCATAGCCTTACTTGCAATCATGTGGTTTCAAAACTATATTTGACTGAATAACTTTTAAGTGAAGTTGTCTCTTTCATACTGTGGCATTTTTTAATTCATTTGAATAATTAACATTTAAAAAAGCATTTTTTTTTAGATCTGCACATACAAATTTAGATGAGGTGGAAATGCATGGAGTCACCAACCTAGTTGAACATCCAACTCAGATGGCTCCACCAGGTATTCATTCACTGAATATTAAAACCTCCAGCAAAGAGAAATTAGTTAATTTTAAAAATTGAAATAACTCTGTGATTTCCATTTCTGTCTAAATTTTTATTTTACCTTTTTTTTCCAGTGGATACCGACAAGCCAGTTACTCTTGGTGTGTATTTAACTAAGAAAGAACAGAAGAAGTTGAGGAGACAAACTCGCAGAGAAGGCCAGAAAGAGGTGCAGGAAAAAGTCAGATTAGGCCTTATGCCTCCACCTGAACCCAAAGGTACATCACCAAAATTAATTTAATATGCCAACCAATGGTTTGGGACACCTGCTGATTTTAGTAATGCATTTTTATTGGATATAATTTTGTTGTGTATGTAATATTTGCTTTGTTTGGTTGCAGTGCGGATCTCCAATCTGATGAGGGTTTTGGGCACAGAAGCTGTGCAGGACCCCACTAAAGTGGAGGCCCATGTTAGAGCACAAATGGCAAAGAGGCAGAAGTGAGTTGTTATCAAAGTTCTAATACAATACTATCAGAAAATTACACCCCAGTAGTTCTGTTGTTGAGAATATAAAAATGTTTGGCACGTACTACTAGTATTATAGCATTCCTAGTATTTAGAAATAATTAGTTGTGGACAGATCTTGATGTTTCGTGGCATATTCTGATTACTAATACCATTTAAAAATATATTATGATTAACAAAACATTTGTTGTGAATGCCAAACCTACACAAATTTATTTAACAATAAAAGTAAAAAAGGATTTTAAATGGATGTATTTTGCATAGTGTAATGTGGTATCATTTGTGTTAAGGGCACATGAGGAGGCAAATGCAGCACGCAAACTCACAGCAGAACAAAGGAAAGAGAAGAAGGTGAAAAAACTGAAGGAGGATTTGAGTCATGGAGTTCATATTGCTGTTTACAGGTACATGACACATCTGATAATATCTTTCATGATAAACACACATTGAAAAATTCATAGACAAAACTAGAGGCTGCATGATTGACAAAAATCATAATTTTCGATTATTCAATAAAAAAAGTAAATTTGATTATCATAATGCCCATTTATTGATGTTTGAAAAAAAGCTTTATTTCATAGTTTTAAGTAATTGCATGCCATATTATTAATTATAAAAAATTATAAGAAAAATTACTTTCCTCATTGCCAGTTTTTTTTATATAAAAAGAAAAACAAATATGAAATATGCATGAAACTGAATATTATAATAATTTTTAACACTGGATACTGTATTTATACTGAATAGGTACAACAGCTATTCAGTCAAGACCAGGGAGTGATTTCCTTTGTTTGATTAACATTAAAAACACAGACAGCAGGAATGTAATGTTTTCACTTTAAAACTGTTCACAGATCAGAGAAAGCTGGATATTAGTGTAGTATAATTGATAATATCCTCAAATTAAATCAGGATTTGAAGTCTAGCAATCTTGAGACCATCCATTTTGTGTAGTATCAGTGCATAACATGTCTCAGTCAGCAATTGTAAAGAAATTGTAAAGATTTGTAAAGAAATTAATGGGAGAATACAAATGTAATTTGCTTTCCTTTTTTTTTTATTACAAAAACAGCACTGCAAGAAACATTTGCTTTTAACCAACATAACTAAGAACTTATAATAAAAATAAAATCAAGAAACACACCAGCTGATTAAAACAATTGAAAATAAACACTACTATAAAATATCATCTTCGCTAATGTTGCAGATCATTTTAAATGTTCATCTCTAACATCTTGTGCAACAAATTTATATTTTAGTCTCATTTTCAATGAATCCTTCAACAACTCAAAAACTTGACTAGATGTATAATTTTTTAACTATTTAGTGACATTTTGATGGCTGGTTATTGACACCTATTTAGTTAAACTAATTACTACAACGTATATTTTTAAGCGACAAATTGCAATAAACTGCTAATTTTAGTCTTTACCATAAACAACAGTGTTTATATCTGAAATATAAACTGTTACCCCAGTACTTGATTGTTTGTAATTTTGTAACTAACTGAAAAGGGTGAAAACTGAATCTTTCTCAATCAAATGCAGATTTGAATGCATGGCATTAAAGGAATTATAAACCTATGGAAATCACAATCACTTATAATTTAGGATGCGTGGGGTTTTAATTGAGATCTCGTTCTTTTAATGATAAATTGTGCAGCTATACACTAAATGCATTAATGCTGGCTAAACAAGTGTTAACAAAAACACCTTTAATTACCTAAGAAAGCATTTAGGTGCCACTGTCATTATATTTTACAGGAAAGCCAATATGTTCTCATACATGCAATTTAAATGATGCAGCAGGCGGTCTCTCCGCAATCGTTACAAATTTAGGATTAATCCATAAGTAAAAAAAAAAGAAAAAAAAAAAGTTATTAATCAGTGGGTCACGTGCGTGCTGAACCATGGGTTGTGATTTGAACAGATCATGGGTAAACGGATCCGCTACATTCCTATTGTTTACTGAAGTGCTCTGCTTTGCTCTGCAGAATCCGAAATCTGCATAACCCAGCCAAGAAGTTTAAAGTGGAGGCCAATGCAAACCAGCTGTACCTCACTGGCACTGTGGTACTGCATAAAGATGTCAACATCGTAGTTGTGGAAGGAGGTAAGCATATGTTATCATTTTTGTTTAATCATCTCTACAGATGGGTAATTTTGGGTATTATTATCATTTTTATTGTTAGAATTACTGTCTGTATTCATTGAGTTTCTCTATTTAGGACCCAAAGCACAGAAGAAGTTTAAGCGATTGATGCTGACTCGGATCAAATGGGATGAGCCAAATTCCAAAAGAGATGGTAAGGTGGTATGCGATAACTGCAGAAGGTACAGACATTTGTGAACTGTGATTTACAAACTGATCTTTTGCTTTTCTATTTTTTCTTTTAGAGCATCACGATGACGATGAATCCAGGAGGAATAATAGATGCTCATTGGTCTGGGAGGTAAATGCATACCTGTATTACTTTTTCAGAAGCTAATTTGTTTTCTTTTTGTAACCTTTTGCTATCTACTTTTGTTTTATTGAACATTTGATTGTTTTTACTGCTCTGTAGGTAGATAGTAATTACACTCTTACTAAGTGTTAAACAACACAACCTGTTGTTTATTAACACACCTTTGTGTCTAGTTAAGGATGACACAATCTGTTATTTTAAACTAGTGTTATTACTGTTAACACAGTGTGTTAAAGGATTTAAACATTAATGTGTCATAAATCACACACATTGTCAAAAAATCTCCATTTTAATACATGTATATTCATTGTAGCAAAATTATCTCGTATAGAATTATGAATAATTAATCATTGCTGTTTATAATAATAAACATATTTTGAACTGAATTCATAACTGAATTAGGTTTACAATTCCAACTCGTTTGTCTACCGAACATTTAGCATTTTTATTAATTCTCAGAATGTTATTTTTAGCGAACCATAAAAATGATTTTTCCTATTCAGATGCTTAAAGCCTGGTTTATACTTCTGCGTCGTGTGAACGGCTTGACCTATGGCATTTGCAATACAATTAGATGAGCATTTATACTTCTGTCCGCTGTTTCTGGTGATCTGCAATAGCACTTCAGAAACGCTGGCTGGCTGTAGGTGTTTGTTGAAATTGGCAGACGTGCAACAACTTTAATCATAAGGTAAACACAAAATAACAGTTTTCATCTAGAGCTCCTTCCCGGGACTCCACACTTGTAAACACTCGCTCCATCTGGCTCGTGTGGCTCTCACCTCCGCTCACACTCACTCGTCAGCACTACCAAGCCGAACAATCACAGAGCTTGCGATACGCGTCGTTGTGATGTGTAGTTTTTTGAGAGGTGCACGTCGCTAACAGCCATGGTGAGGGCTATGCGACCACATGTAGGCTGCGCCGGAGCATACGCGTGTGCTTGACGCATAAGTATAAATCAGCCTTAAGCTTAGACCATGTTGCAAAAAATCTGAGCTGTTAAAGGGGAAATAAAGCACTCAGTCAAGTTTAGCTTATTTTGTACATTAGATTCCACGTTAATAAAAATATATAAACAAATTCGATTATTAAACCATTTAAAAGAAAACAGCATGTTTTACTATAGATTTTAGACCTAGGGTGTGGCCATCTTGGAATGTCTCTGTGTCTGATGTCACAGGGTTGGTTTAGTTCCCTCACCTGAACAGATACAGTGGAAGTAAAAGAGACTATAAAGACTAATTTAACCCAATGCGTTAAGTTGTGGACTAAGAGCTGCTGCAATTACAAGCATCAAGTCTTAATAGAAGTATATATATATTTATTCTATTTTTCCCCTTTTAATTATCGATCATTTGACACGCTTTGCTCCTCTCTCTGGGTTATGCTGCCTGTATGGGTTTCAACAATGATTGTAATAGACTGAACACAGAGACTGGACAGCCTAATTTAACCCAATGCAAATACAAGCATTTAAGCATTTGGACCAAACAAATCTATGGACCAAAAAAATTATATGGAATCACCATGTACTTTGCAGTTTTTAAACAAAAAACTGTATCTGATTACAACTAATAATTAGTCTGCAGTTAAAAAAGCGTGTTTGCACACCTTTGTGAGGTGTTGAACCAAGCTGATTGACATAACTCATGGCTCCAACATGATAGATGTCAATTCAAAGGATAATCAAACTTCTTAAGGAAGGTTAATCTTAACAGAATGTTGCAAAAGATGTTGGTTGTTTTCAGACAGCTGTGTCTAAAATCTGGACCAAGTACAAATCAAATGGGAAGGAGTGTACTGGTAGACCAAGGAAGACGCAAAGCATGAAGACAGAAAACTTAAAGCATCTGCGTCAGTAGCCTAGTGGTTAGTGCATCGACACATAGCACCCAGGTGCTCATGGCGACCCGAGTTCGATTCCTGTCTCGAGGTCCTTTGGCGAAAGGTGAAAACCCGTAAAGAATTAACTTGAAGCAATATGCTTCAATGTCTTCAATGTCTGTGACCAGACTTTAAGAAATCGCCTAAAAGAAATGGGATTTACATACAGAAAAGCCAAACAAAAACCATCATTTAAATCTAAACTGAAAAGAGCACGGTGTCAGTGGGCTAAAGAAAAAGTCTTGGACTGTGGATGACTGGAGTGATGGTTGATAATCAGTGAAGAATAATGAATCAGGGTGACTATGCTTGAACTTTTGTTTGGTGCTGTTCCAATGAAATTTATGATGACGGCTGCCTGAAGAAATCATGATAATTTCCTCAGTCATTAAGAATATGGTATTGCATGTCAGGTAAAGATATGAGAGAGATGACAGTCCTTGCATCCTCTATAAATGCACAAGTTTTTATTGAGATTTTGGAGGCTTTTCTTATTCTATCAATTGAAAGGATGTATGGTGGTGATGACATATTTTTTCAGGTTAATAATGCAGTGTGCCATAAGGCAAAATCTGTGAAAACTTTCCTACAGGAAAGACAATGTCAATGGGATGGCCTGAAAACAGTCCAGACCTCAATCCACTTAAAAAACTATGGTGTAAATTAAAAAAAAATGGCCTTTGACAAGGATCCAACCTGCAAAGTTGATCTGGCAACTGCTAAAGACAAAGTTGGAGACCGCTTGATGAAGAATACTGTTAAATCCATGACTCAGATAATTCTGTTAAAGATTTATCTGTTCTCAGATAAAACTGTTAAAAAAACGTCTGAGATGGTGCAACAAAATATAAGTGTTTTTATTTGGTGATTTAATAAAATTTTCCTCAGATTTCTGATTCTATATTTTTTCCTCTGCTTGATCTGTAAAAACAGTTGTAGTTGACTACAGTGTTCTTTTACTTTTTTTAAAGCGTTTCTTACAGCCAGAAGGTTGGGTTGTTGAAAAAAAATAGTTTTGTAGTTTTTTTTTCATAAACATTTGCATGAACATCTTAATTCAAATAGGTTTTATTTGAGAAAAGCTCCAAAAGTGTAATTTATTGGCTTAATTTTTGACAAAATACATTTTTAAAGTACCTCCTAATACTTGACTGTAGCTAAGCATCCAAGTCCTCCACTGATGAAGAGGCACCAACTTGCTTAGCATTTCAGAGTGAATTAAGCATCAAGCTGAATGGATGAACAGTCAAAACGCATTCTGTTGGGCACACTGTGTTGTTTTCATATCTTTCTTTTTACACACAATTTATAAAAAAATATATCAGCTAAGGTATTAAAATAGTCATAATACAAAACATTTTTTGACATTTTTGAGAGCAGTATGAATTTTGTGATTTTAACTAAATCTGTTGTAAATTTAAGTATTATCTTTTTTCCAGGGTACATCAAAAGAACGTAACTATGGGGAGGTTAAGTTTAAGCAGTGTCCAACGGAGAACATGGCTCGGGAACATTTTAAGAAGCATGGCACCGAGCACTACTGGGACTTGGCTCTGAGCCAAAGTGTTCTGGAGACAACTGATGACTGAGATATGGACAGAACTCAGAACAACAACTCACAGTGGAGTCCATGACAATTTGCAGAGTTTTTTTTTTTTTTTTAAGGGAGAGAGAGAGAGTGAGTGATGGATTAGACCGGCAGAGAGAAGCGCATGTAAATATCTATAGTTTGAGTGAATAAGAGAATAATTGTGCTTTGTGTACAGACAGTACAGGTGTGAAACAATGCAAGGCTTTGTTACAAGAGCTGGTGTCACGAACAAGGATGTTAATCCTAATTACTAGGGTGGACACTTGTTTTGTTTCTCTTGTAATCGTTTTATAGTGTAGGCTGTGCATTTTTTTGATTTTCTGTACCTGTGATACATCTTGACTGCTCCTTATGGTACATTGATTTGATCTTTTCAGTTAGTAAAACTCAATACTGAAACAAAAGAAATGTCACTGTAGTTTGTTACTGGATGATCAAACTTAATTGGATACAAGAATTTTAGATTATGTACGGCAGGCATTGTTGTTATTGTGTTTTAATGGAGAACTATTTTTTTATTATTTAGGCTCACCTATCTTCATATTCATGTCATCCCTTTTTTTTTCATCCCCATTTTTGTCAAGGAATCAAACACAACAAATAAAACCTATTATATTCGGGCCTATAAAAAGTATTTAAAGGGTTGACTTTCTTTTAAGATGTATAACAGAATTTCTTAATAATTTTTCTGGAATAATTTGGGGGCAGATGTGGTGTAGTGGTTCGGGAGTCAAACCTTTAAACCAAAGATCTTGAGTTTGATTCCTACTACCCAAAGGATACCCAACTAATGTACTCTTGAGGTGCAGTTAGGCACCTATCCCCGAATATCTCCCTGGTTGCCGTAAGCAGTGGCTGCCTACTGTTCACATGGTGTGTTAGTCTGTGTTCTCTCTTTTCACTCAAATTGTGTGTTCATGTGCACTTGAATGGGTCAAATACAGAATAATATGTAAGTCTATTCTTAATGATGCTCACTTCACGATTAAAGAATACCACATTGCTTATTATAGGGTAAAAAATTGGTTGTAAGAAAAGACAAAAGGATAGAGTGTTCCTCCAGTGGCATGCCAACTTCAACACAGATTTTGTCTTTCTAATAATCATGCACCCGTTTCAGATCCTCAAACTCAAAACTGCTCTTCTAGGACACGTTTTAATCTTTAATGACAAAACTTTTGCAATCAGTTGTATTATTATTGTATTATCATAGTTTTTTTTTTATGGTTTTCAAAACTTTAAATGGGGCTATAAGAACCATGCATACAAATTGGTCTGCTGTATCATACTGTAATCTACAAACTAACAATATCACACAAGTAGCCATGGTGATATGGTTCTGTATCAACACTCCTGTTGAGTTTCATTGTTAATTAATAACGTACCACACTGATAGATGTGGCTTTACAATAAGAAAAATTGTTCGCGACATTAACATTAAAAGATAACAAATTGTCCCTGTTTGTAATAAGCCTCAAATGATGGTGCGCAAAATAAAAAAAAGACTAGAACTGTTCATATGCACAGTGTTGTTTATTTTCCAACTCAATCCATATTTTTCTGCCACTATTATTTTTTTTCTCACATGATCTTTCACCATTAAAATAACATTTGTGTTTGTTCAGAATAGTTTAAATCAGACCAATAGTTCAAATGTCTGCTCAAAAAGCAATGTCTATTATAGTTTATATATTTTTTATTGTTGTTAAAAGTAAATTCCTTTATTTGTTTTAATAGTTGTATTATTTGAATTTGTCAGTGGAAAGAACCTTGGTGTTGAAGAGCCATGTAAATTCATCTCTTACCACTAGTTCAAGATTCTTTATTGTCTAGACAAATATTCTGAAAGTGTTTACTATATACAGTGCTCAGCGTAAATGAGCACACCCATCACAGATCTCTCTTTAAATGAATATTTTCTACAGGATGCTTTTACAATAATGCATATACATTATTACCAAAACTGGTACTTATTTTTGGAGATTGGAGATTTTTTTCAGCATATTTTTACACATAATAGTTTTAATAACTCATTTCTAATAACTGATTAATAACTGATCTTTGCCATGATGATAGTCAATAATATTTGACTAGATATTTTTAAAGACACTTCTATACAGCTTCAAGTGACATTTAAAGGCTTAACTAGATTAATTAGGTTAACTAGGCAAGTTAGGGTAATTAGGCAAGTTATTGTATAACGATGGTTTGTTCTAAAGACAGTCTGGGAAAAAAATGCTTAAAGGGGCTAAGAGTTTTGTCCTTAAAATGGTTCATAAAAAATTAAAAATTGCTTATATTCTAGCCAAAATAAAACAAATGGGTTCTGACAAGTCAGGCATGCTGCAGCTTAGACAGTTGCAGAAGCAAAAACTACTGGGAAGAGCCCACGGAAGAAGACTACTGGTCAGCCTCAAAGAGATTCTGGCAAAGTGTTCGACGCCTCAGAAGGGGAACACAGTTCCACACCAGCACTGATTACAGCAGAAGCTGTGAGCTGTTGATGTTGTCGGGCTGTGGAAGGAATACTTTGAGAATATCCTCAATCCCACTGATATGTCTTCCATTTAGGATGCTGGGGTTGAATCACCTATCACCCAAGCTGAGGTCAGAGAGGTAGTTTGTAAGCTCTGCAGTGGCCAAGCAGCCTGGGTGGAAGAGATACACTGTGTACCTGGAGTCAGGTGGAGTCTAGTTCGGAGACCACAGGATTTCATCTCTGCTATTGTGATGATTATGATGTTCTGTTGGCTTCATCAGACATGGACTTCAGCTTACTCTGGAGCAGTTTTTTGCAGAGTGCTGTGGCAGTGATGAGAATCAGCACCTCCAAGTCTGAGGCCATGATGCTCTACCAGAAAAAAGTCACTTGCCATCTCCAGGTTGGAGGAAAGTCCTTACACCAGCTGAAGGAGTTCGAGTATCTTGGGTTTTTGTTCACAAGTGAGGGTAAGATGGACCGTGAGATTGATAGGTAGATTGGTCAGACCGTTGTGGTAAAGATGAAGCTAAGCCGAAAGGAAAAGCTGTTGATTTACTGGTCAATCCACAGTCCTTCCCTCACCTATGGTCATGCACTTTGGGTCATGACTGAAAGTACAAGATCTCAGATACAAGCATCTGAAATGGTTTTCTATGCAGGGTGGCGGGGCACACCCTCAGAGATAGGGTGAGGAGCTCTGTCACCCAGGAGGAACTTGGGAGTAGAGCTGCTGCTCCTCCACATCGAGAGCAGTCAGCTTAAGTGGCTCGGGCATCTAATTTGGATGCCTACCTAGGGAGGTGTTCCAGGTGTGAGGAGGCCCCAGGGAAGACCCAGCACACTATGGAGGGTCTATGTCTCTTGGCTTGCCTGGGGACGTCTTGGAGGAGCTGGAAGAAGTGTCTGGGGTAGAGGGAAATCTGGGTACTTGTCCTGAGACTGCTGCCCCATGACCCGGCCTAGGATAAGCAGAAGAAAATGGATGGATGGGCAACCACGTTGCAAAAAGATCAATAAAGATAGACTTATCATGGATAAAATCAGCTTTGTGGCATTTATTTGGAATGCTGGGAATGTAGCAATGCAGCAACAGAGAAAAGGTGACTGTATAAGTTTAAATTGTACCTCAGGCAGCTTCTAAGTATTATCTTCATTCATTCATTAATTTTCTTTTCGCCTTAGTCCCTTTAATAATATGGGGTCACCACAGTGGAATGTACTGTCAACGAATCCAGTATATGTTTTACACAGCGGATGCCCTTCCAGCTGCAACCCATCACTGGGAAACATCCATACACTACGGACAATTTAGCTTACCCAATTCACCTATAGCACATGTCTTTGGACTTGTGGGGGAAACCCCAGAGGAAATCTACATGAACACAGGGAGAACATGCAAACTCCATACAGAAATGCCAACTGACTCAGCCGAGGCTCAAACCAGCGACCTTCTTGCTGTGAGGTGACAGCGCTACCCACTGTGCTGCCTCTAAGTATTATCTCTTTGTCCCAGTTACAACAAAGGGTAACGTTTTACAAACGGTTCAGTTTTTTAACATTATGCTTTGTATATCATGAACTAATTGCCCCCCCCCCCCACTGTGCTGTGTTATTACTCTAAACACTACTTTTTAATGTATAAGACCATTTTTAAATATTAGCACCGTAAAAAATGATTAATAGTTTGTACATCCAATCAGAATGCATATGCATAACACCATTGTTAAGACAAGGACTCTTAAACTTTTAATTGGAAATTAGTTTTTCACTGTTTACCTCACCTAATAAAGGTATGTCATCACCAACACTATAAATAGCTGGATTAATATATAATAAATAGCTAAAGCTTGTTTTCTAGATTTTTGCCCCGTTTGTGCTATATTTTCTGAGTGCTAAAAATAAAAAAAATTATAGTTATAATAAGTTAGTTTTATAATAATGTATTTCATTATAAAAAAATTAAACAACACCAACTAAAAGGATCACGTGGTGTTTCTGTGCATTGATGTATTTTGTGTGCATGTAGGCTACTGTATATGCGCTTGTCAGAAATGTATTCTTCAATGTATATTTTAAAAGTGCCATATATAAAGACAATCTAGATACACAATTTGACAAGTATTAGTAATATAAACAAATTACTCGATAAGATTCAATTATATTATGCAACAATAGACCACAGCTAGTAAAAACTTAGGTATGCAGTAGGACTTTTAAGAACACGATTTCGTGTTGGTAAATCAATTATTAAATTTATGTCTTTAGCCTGACGTTTGTTTCCTGTGTCGGATGGTACTCCAGCATCCTCGCGATTCACGTCACATACACGCACAAAAAAACAGCAGTTTGAACAACCCGTAAACTGTATTTTTGTCGTTAATAAACAGCTTAAGGTCACACCCCTTAAACGCAGTGGATAAAGCTGTGAAGTGACGCTTTCAAAATAAGCTCATTTTCCCCCTTGCATCCTTTCCTCTAGTGGGAGCTAAGATGTGAGAAAAGGAAGAGATGAAAGGAAACAAGGAAAGAAAGGGGGATGCGCGAATGAGAACTGAAGAAGTACCGTCGTCTCCGTTATCAAACTCATCAACAGAAGTCGTCCACATCTGTTCTCACAAGATTTGACTCTTGTCACCTGTTCCTGCTTTCAGGTAGACCTCTCGCCTCTTTTTTTCCCTTTTCATGGTTAATTAACTTTTCGACAAACCGACAGTGAAAGTAATTATTAGATGACTTATTTTCAATTGTTCTGCCTCATACTACATCCACTGCTTTTATGGGTCATATAGGTCCAGACAGAATCTGCAGACATGGTTTCTGCTCAGATTATTGTAAAATAAATAAATAAAAATCTGCAGATGTGGAATGATTTTGAGAGTTTAATAAGTAAACATAACACAATAATAATAATAATAAAACCATTCTTTCATTTTCAGTATAACAGACTAACCCTTTATTAATGTGGGGTCGCCACAGCAGAATGAACCACCAACTTATCCAGCATAAGTTTTACGCAGCGGATGCCCTTCCAGCTGCAAACCATCACTGGGAAACATCCTTACACACTCATTCACACTGATACGCTACGAAAAATTTAGCCTACCCAATTCACCTGTACCGCATGTCTTTGGACTTGTGGGTGAAACCGGAGCACCCGGTGGAAACCCACACGAACAAGGGGAGAACATGCAAACTCCATGCATAAACGGCAACTGACCCAGCCGAGGCTTGAACCAGCGACCTTCTTGCTGTGAGGCAAACGTGCTAGCCACTGTGCAGCCATAATAAAATTATTTAAGGTTTTAAATGCAAATTAAATTCGAACCATTTATTTGGTAAATTCACATATATTCTAATATAGCCTACTAAATGACAGAAAATATTTATTTAAAAGCTGTATTGTGATTAAATCTTAAATATTTCTGTATTATTCTATAATATTACAGGAATTAATATAAAAACTTAATAAATATGTATTTACACACATATTTACTTTAGTAAATAAATGTTGGACTAAGGATCAGGAGAAATCTGCTCATGAATTTTTCCTTTCACTGTGGAAGCATTTTTATAAAATTTACAACTAGAGAATGCTGTTTGAACCTCAGAGTTTCATTGAACCGGCAACATTTTGAATGGACCCAATATATGCTTACTGTCAACCCAACCCCTGTTTTGAAGAGCAGAGAAGTAGCCTAGAATTCAGTTTCAGAAACTGCCCCTTGGGTTCAGCTCAAAAATAACTGAAGCTTTTATTATTTATCTACCAACTGTGTGTGGTAAGTGTTGAGTAAATTTTCAATTGCACATAAACAGACTTCATCTGCACTGGTATGTAGAGCCGTTTCAGGAACAATGTCTAAAATATTTTGATGCAATTACCTACTTTAGAGTTATTGAATTATACTGTAGTGTTACATGTACTGTATAGTGTCATAGGTAAACCCATTTATTTTGTGGTGTTGATTGAGTGCACAAATTCTCGTGAATCTTGTAGGCTACAACGCCTGTACACGTCATCAGATGTCTCTTGCTTCATATGAGATCAGACGATCACGACTGCTGTAGTAATTTCAGCTGCTTTATTTTTCGATATTCATCCTTAGGAAATCACTGAAGGCATATATTATGTTATCATAACAATCTAATATGGCAATAATATATTAACTGTACTGTGCATTTACACCGTGGCCATAATCTATGTAAACATAAAAAACAACATTAACATTATAGCGGACACTGTAAAAAGGCCACTAGACTTTTCTGACCGGGTTTTCGAGTGTCATCGAGTGTCAGAATTTTGTAGGACTGCTATGCAGGAGTTATTATTAGGGATTATAGATAGCAAGATTTAGCATTTATTTTATTTTAGTGTTTTTTTTTTAAATATGACGGATAAACATGAACGCATTTATGAATATATTAAAACATGTGCTTGTTCGTTGTAAAAATTCGTAATAATGACAAAAATATACTAATTTGTGGATGTCCTTATCCTATCCTGCCGTTGTGGCTGGTGTATTCTGGGAAATTTTCTTTGGTTTCGTGTGTATACCTGAAAAATCTCTGTTCAAAGAGGTATCTACCCCTTTTCCTTAGCCCTACGCCTTCAAGCTAAAGAGAATTTAGCACCCCCACCCCTTCACGTGAACACACAAAATGAGCGGTAGGGGTATGGAGAAGGGCTAAGTTGTAGGATTGTGATTGGGCCTTAGTCTCGTACTTTGTACTAGGGTTTGGCGATGCCGTCCAATTTGGCATCGTATGATGTCTAATGTGAAACATCCAGTGGACGATGGCATTGTTGTCATTTGAAGGCGGTGAGGGGGTGTGCGCACAATGTGTCTGAAGTGCGAGGAGGGATCCTGTGGTGAGGGGTGATAACGGTCATGTCTTATTTGAGGACTGGGAGTGAGATGCACGATTTCCGGCAATTATCACTCGTTTGCGGCCATCCGGCAATCTCTACGCATTTGCGGGACATTCACAGAACTTCAAGGAGACTTGGAATGTCTGAATATCACGTTTAACAACTATAGCGAGACGCTATAAACTGTCCGACGTGCACTGTTCACTGGAGCTCAGACGAGCGGATGACAGTGTGCGTGGCTGTGTGTGTGGTCACGTGATGTGCGTTTTCAGTGGACGGAGGGTTGTTCTGAAATGCTAGGTAAAACACGGTGTGGATGTGGATCTTTTTTGTTTTAAAATGCCATTTTAACACTAAGACGTATTAGTGTAAACAGGGCCTAAGTGTGTATTTTTCGCGGGTTTGCGATGAGGGCAGGGCGGAGGATCGGCGATGCCGGCTCAGCATCGTGTTGTCTATTGGCCAACGGCGATGGACGATGGCATCGTCTATCGGCTCAACCCTACTTTGTACCATTGTTTCCTGGGATTTTTGGACAGAGTAAGAAAGGCTGTATCATCAGGAAGGTGTGGCTTATTTGAGAATCAGCATAGGTCATCGATCATGCAGAGTTTAGAAAGAATAATGAACGAAAATATAAATTCAAAGTATAATGATGTTAAATAAACAGAAAGCAATTTATAAGTATAATGATGTTACAAAAGAAACAACCTTATATGAAATTTAAAATGTAATTTGAGTTTGAAATATGAAGTTACACCGAGATGAAGTTGTTGACTGACTATATAATACAAAAGAATATATAAATCAATTATGTGAACTGAGGTTGCGTTACATTTGATGTAACAATTTGGAAACTGTATTTTCACATTACAAAAGAAACAACCTTTTTTCAGTTTAAATATGTGATCTGAGGTTGCAGAACACAAAAGGTTACATTAAGACAAAACAGTTTTTTAGCCATTTAAAGGAGATGGCCTTTCATAAAGTAAAAATTGCATTGGGAATTGCACTACACATGACATCACATCACAATTGTAATAAATGTGTGTGTATGTGTGCAGTTTTGTCTCTGTCAGATACTCATTAAGTGATCTTCAATAAAGTACTTTTAATACTATTCATATTTTATATTTAATAATAGCATTATACTGACAATGCTAAAATTTAACATGCTAAAACTTTAATTTTAAAACTTGAGTTATTCAGTATTTGCATGCTAATACTTCTGCATAGACACCTTAAAGACAATCTATTACCAGTATGATTTATTATAATTATAAGCCACTGTTTCCCTCTTTTTCTACATAGAAAGCCTTTTACCAGAGCTCTTCAATTATGAGTTCTACAGTTGCCCTGCTGAGGTAAGACAAACCACCATCTCCGAATATGGTTAAAAAAGTGAAGAACACTAAGAAAATGAGACTTTTTTCTTTCTTTTTTAAATATTTCCCAAATATTGTTTAACAGAGCAAGGAAATTTTCACAGTATGTCTGATAATATTTGTTTTATTTTGGCTGAAATCAAAGAAGTTTTTAATTTTTTAAAAACCATTTTATGGTCAAAGGGCTGTGTGGAGGGAATTGTGTTTATGTCTGACTGTTATGTGTGGGAAAGATGATTCGTGTGGGAGGCGAGTGAGGGGGAGATATGATTATAGGGGATGTGCCATAATATTGTGTGCAGTGTAGATTGAGGTGTTGGGTGTTATTTGAAACACTGTTGTAGTAATGTGTTAAACTCACTGTGTAAAGAAATGGGCGTGATAATCGCGTGTAGCCTTTGACATCTATATCTCTCGCCCTGGTACCTGCATTTAATTTGCCCCTGTTCTTAAAATAAATAAAGCATTTTCTTTTTTTGTACATCAACCTTCATATGCTTCTTCTAAGCCAAATAAAGAGAAAGAACCAATTTTCCTACCACAGCTATGCTGATGATACTCAGATCTACTTATCCTTACTGCCTAATGACTACAGCCCCATTGACACCCTCTGCCAGTGGATCAATGAAATTAACAATTGGATGTGCCAAAACTTTCTTCAGTTAAACAAAGAGAAAACTGAAGTCATTGCGTTTGGGAACAGAGATAAGGTTATCAAGGTGAATGCGTACCTTGGCTCTAAAGGTCAAACAACAAAAAATAAGGTCAAGAATCTTGGTGTGACTCTGGAGTCAGATCTAAGTTTCAATATTCATCTCAAAGCAATCAGTAAAGCAGCATACTATCATCTCAAAAACTATGCAAGAATCAGATGCTTTTTTTCTAGTGAGGACCTAGTGAAACTTGTTTATGCTTTCATCAGCAGCAGGGTGGATTACTGTAACGGCCTCCTCACTGGTCTTCCCAAAACGACAGTCAGACAGTTGCAGCTCATCCAGAACACTGCGGCCAGGATTCTGACGAGAATAAGAAAATCAGAGCACATCACACCTGTCCTCAGGTCTCTACACTGGCTCCCAGTTACATTCAGAAAAGACTTTAAAGTATTATCACTTGTCTATAAATCACTAAATGGTCTAGGACCTTAATACATTACAGATATGCTCAATGAATACAAACCTAACAGATCACTCAGATCTTTAGGATCAAATAAACTAGAAATTCCAAGAGTTCAGTCAAAGCAGGGAGAATCCGCCTTCAGCTACTGCACCCATGGCTGTTGGAATCAGCTTCCAGAAATGATCAGATGTGCTCCAACACTAGGCACATTCAAATCGAGACAAACAACACATCTGTTTAGCTGTGCCTTTACTGAATGAGCAGTGTGCTACATCCAACAGATCGCACTAATGTCTTTCTTTTCTTTGCATAACCTGTTTTAAAACATTTTTATCTGTTTTTAATAATTTGTATTTCTATTTTTTAATAATTTGTATATTTGTCTTTTTTATTCTTGTTTATATAAAGCACTATGTATTGGCACTGTGTATGAAATGTGCTATATAAATAAACTTGCCTTGCCTTGTCTTACATCGTGTGTGGTGTTTTCCTGGTGGACATAAATGTCAATAAGGTTTATTACAGTATAGAACAACAGATTATAAAAGCCATGGCCAAGGGCAATTATTGTAATGTACTGATTGTAGTAACAACAGGTAAAAAATTAATAGTCAGTTTTGTCTCTGTCATTAACAGCATTGCCGCACAACTACTTTTGACTGACATGGAAGACAGCAGCATCCCTGATCTGAATGATCATACACTTTACATGTAAGGTCATATATCTTTGTATTATTGAAGATTGAGCTCTGTTTTCCTATATATAATTTTTTTTCTTCCTTTTCTAGATCAAATGTGAATGAGCCAGTTACTGATCAGCCAACTACCCCTGTTCTTATGATTACAGACTACAGTTATGATGATTACTACAACTCTGTTGATCCTGATTCATTACCCTGTGTTTATCCAACGCATGGAGCTAGCATCCTCCCAGTGTTATACTCCCTGTTTTTTGTAGTGGGCTTTCTGGGTAACACATTAGTTATCAGGTTGGTTTTGAAGAGCCTGAGAAGCATGACTGATATCTGTCTCCTGAACCTGGCTATAGCTGACCTGCTCTTGGTCTCCTCGCTTCCCTTTTTGGCGCACTATGCCGGAGACCAGTGGATCTTTGGAGGTTCTATGTGCACTATGGTGCTCAGTGTCTACCACATAGGATTCTACAGTGGGATTTTCTTCATAGTACTGATGAGCGTTGATCAATACTTGGCTGTAGTTCATGCTGTGTTTGCATTGAAGGTCAGAACAAGGACATACGGGTTCATAGCTAGTTTAGTCATGTGGGTCGCTGCTGTCGCTGCATCATTTCCTGAGTTGATATACATCGACACCACAGATATAAATAATCAAACTCTTTGTACATCCTATCCAACGACTGATCAATCCTCTTATCATGATTCAAAGACAAATGGAATCTTTAAAATGAACATCATAGGTTTAATTATTCCACTTTCTGTGATAGGATTTTGTTACTCGATGATTCTCATCAAACTTCTAAACGTTCGATCATCCGGGAAGAAGGCTGTTCGTCTTGTCGTGGTGGTGATGGTGGTCTTCTTCTGCTGCTGGGTTCCGTACAATATTGCAGCTTTTTTTAAAGCCTTGGAGCTGAAAAGAGTCATACCTCATTCCTGTGAAAGTAGTAAGGCGATCACTTTAAGTCTGCAGATCACAGAAGCTGTGGCGTACTCACACAGCTGTATTAATCCATTTCTCTACGTGTTAGTGGGAGAGAAATTTAGGAAGCATCTTTTCAGACTTCTGAACAGGACACCATTCAGCAGACTGCAGTTCATGAAAAGTTATGTACAGACCACAGCATCTGTTTATTCACAGACTACTAGCTTGGATGCAAGATCCTCTGCCTCAGTCTGAATTTAAGAATTATCAGAAAAAAAATCACTGAACCACCCACTAACCTTATATAGCTTTAAACTACTTCATGTTTAATTTACTCATTTCATTTTTATACAATTATGCAAGATATTTTCGTACACTTATGGACATTTTTATAGCACAATAAATGCACTATATAAATAAATATATATAACTATTTTGATGAAAAAAAGTATTCCCACGATTGGTTCTGCATGCATGAAGCATAATACCATTTTATTATAGGTTTTAATATGAACAGTGTAGCTTTTAGTTGAAATCAGAAGTTTACACACACTGTATGAAAAGGCACATAACCATTTAAAAAAAAGTCTGATGTTAATGTGACTAAACAAGTAAGTTAGGATTATCAAATTTGTTTCTGTTATGCTTAATAGCAGAATGAGAGATATTTTTTGAGAAATTGTTATAACTTTTCTTGAAAGTCAAATTTACATACAATAAGATTATTTAGCCTCTGAAAAAGCTCAGATAATGGTGTCAAGGTTTTGGAAGTTCCTGATTGGCTAATTGACAACATTTGAGTTAATTGGAGCAACAACTGTAGAATAGTATTTAAGGGAAAACCTCAAACACACTGCTTACTTGTGAAACAACATGGAGGAATCAACAAAAAAGCCAGATTACCATTTGCTAAATTACACTGGAAAAAAAATATACACACATTTTTGGAGACATGTCCTGTGGTCTGATGGAACTAAGATCGAAATGTTTGACCATAATGACCAGTGTTACATTTGGAGGAAAAGGGTAAAGCTTACAAGCCTAAGAACACCATCCCAACTGTGAAGTATGAGGGTGACAGGAGCATGTTGTGGTGCTGTTTTGCTGCAGGAGGGACTGGTCCACTTCATAGCATAAATGGCATCATGAAGAAAGAACATTATGTAGAAATACTGAAGCAACATCTCAAGACATCAGCCAGGAAATTAAAACTTGGCCACAAATGAGTCTTACAAACAGACCATGACCCTAAGCATACTGTAAAACTAGTCAACTAGTTGTGCTTTAAGGACAACAGTGTGAATGTTTTAGAGTGGCCATCACAAAGCCCTGATTTCAATCCTATAGAAGATTTGTGGGTTAAAAAAAGCCTGTGTGAGCAAGACAGTCTATAAATCTTCTATAGGATTGAGATCAGGGCTTTGTGATGGCCTGGCAGACAGCCTACAAATCTGACTTACACCAATTCTGTCAGAAGGAATGGGCCAAAATTCTATTGTGAAAAGCTTTGAGTTTCTCTTTATGTTCTTGCTCTAGGTATACAGTAATGGTTACTTTGTATGTAAATGATTGCTTTATTAACACAACTTGTAACCTAATCTAAAGTGAGGACTATTTGTGCTTTGTAAATCCCTTATAAATGACAATTAAAGACAGTTATATTACACGGCACCAATTTTTTTTTTAATCATTAAATGATCTCTTGTATTGTAATCAGGAGATTTTTTAATGCACTTACTGGATTTTATTTGGTAGGTGTCAAATAGGAAGTTTATCCTACTTGGTTATGCCTACAAAGTTTTGGTAACACTAGGTCACAATTCACAGTATTAACAAATCATTAACCTGCAAGGATGTTTCTAGAATGGCTAATAAGAGCTTGATTAGTTAGCCCAGGTGTGTCTGATTGGGGTTGGAACTAAACACCGGCCCTCCAGGACCGAGTCTATAACCTGCTACAAGGTTATACAAAATGTTCTTTTATTATTAAAACAGCTGGGTCTGGGTCTCCAATAGGAGATTCAAGTGGCCAACCACTTTAAAAATAAGTCTTTCATTTCAAATGTAGCACCTAATTTATTGCAGTTATACATATTGCAAATCTGTAAAAGACCATATGGATGAGTTGCTTTCTCAGTCACTAGATTTACCTTTAAAAATTATTCAAGATAAAGCTACACCTGTCTAAAGAGGTGTAACAGATCGATACCAAAGCAGAGAATGCATCAGAATAAATAAAACAAAGCAAACCATTTCCCAACCTCTGTATGTTGATTTTGACAGAAAAAGAAAAACCACACAAAAACATTTAAAGTTCAATACAAAAGTTCTTTATGGTATAAACTTAATACTTTGATCTAATATACACAAATGTACAAGAATGACAATAATTGCTTATTTTACTGTAACCGATGGGCAGAGATATTCCGCCAGGTCACGGAGTAAAACTACAGCATAGTCAGGTCTCACGGGTTGTTTATTAAAAATAAAAAATAATAAATTAGGATTTAATCTGACGACAAAGGGACGCAATCTGAGTGATACAGCTGGTCACAGCAGCTGGTACTGACAGTGTGGTTTCACTTCTCCAGGACGCCAAAGCCTCCAGGGCATCTTTGGGGTTGCAGGGAGCCAGGTCATAAATGGCATAGACAGCAGACAACTGCACCTCCTTGGGAACACCTACAATTATATAACAAATAGTGGTATAGTGATTTATGGTTTGGGCAGCATCTTTATATACAATACTTAAAGCAAAGTTCACACAAGAATGAAAATTCTGTCATCATTTATCACCCTTTACATTTGTTCAAACCTTCATGAGTTTCTTTCTTCAGTGGAAGACAAAAGACGTCATGTATAGACTGTTTTCATTATGTGTTACGGTACAGTTCACTATGCTTTTATGGCCATTTCTACTGTCAAAGGTATCTTAAAACGAGCCATACCACTCTTTGGTAACCCTTTGCAAAGTGTTCCTAGCTTAGACTTAAGAGTACCAAAAGGCAGAGCTAGACGCACAGCTGAACGCTATTGGTTTACAGAAAAACGTCACTCGCGCATACACAAGCAGTAGAATGAAAACAAAGAAGCCGCCATTTTTAAAAACACAGCCAAGACATTACATCGTAATGCTATATGCATATAATAACAAGCCATGGTTGACCCAAGCTCAAACAAACCTTGTTGTTGTCTTGAAGTACAGCCACAAAGCCAAAAAGAACAAAATCTGCCGTCTTTCGGATGAGACGTTAAACCGAGGTCCTGACTCTCTGTGGTCATTAAAAATCCCATGGCACTTCTCGTGAAAGAGTAGGGGTGTAACCCCGGTGTCCTGGCCAAAGTCCCTCTATCGGCCCTTACGATCATGGCCTCCCAATCATCCCCTTCCACCGAATTGGCTCTATCACTGTCTCTCCACTCCACCAATAGCTGGTGTGTGGTGAGCGCACTGGCGCCGTTGTCCTGTGGCTGCCGTCGCATCATCCAAGTGGATGCTGCACACCGGTGGTGGTGTGGAGAGACCCCCCCCTCATGATTGTGAAGCGCTTTGGGTGTATGGCCATACACAATAAATGCGCTATATAAATACACATTACATTACATGTCCTCTTTTTGTCTTACGAGGCCGCTAAAAGTGCGAGCGGTTTCACTTTCTCCAGTGAGCTCGCGATTGCGTCTATATTTGAAATAACAAACTTCTTGAGTTGATGATATTGTGCTGGTGAAGATTAAAGATACAGATGAGAGGTTTGCACTGACTGTGGGCTATATGTTGCATTTTGTTTTTGAACCCAAATAAGGACTAAGGGTGCTTTCACACCTGTGAATCGATTTAGTTGTTCCGAAACAGAGATTAAAATTGTTACATTGTTGCTCTTTGCTCTTGGAGCGGTTCACTTTCACACTGCAAAGTTTCTAATCAGACCAAAAGAGCTAAAACAAGTCACGTGCGAGTAAACTCTCCTCACATTGGTCAGAGTGTCAGGGTTTGTTTTGCAGCGTCCCTCTCAGCTGTCAGGAGAGGTGGTGGTTTGGTGGTGATTGACAGGGTGCGCGCGCGTGAAGTGTCTGGGGAGAGATGCGGTGGGGAGGGGTGAGAAGGGTGCGCGACGATGCCTATTTGAGGACTGGGAGAGAGACGCGAGATTACCGGGAGATCATCACTCGTTTGCGGGCATATTACATATCCATAAAACACTGCGATATAACCGCGCTCGGATCGGATCGCTTTCTCACTGCAATGGAACCGCTCCAGGGTTCGTTTCAATCGAGCCGAGACCACCTCATTCAAGCGATCTCGGAGCGATTACTTTGGCGCGGAACAGAGCGCGATTGTCCTGTTCACATATGCCAATCGAACCGCGCTAACTGGGCAAACGAGATACGTTCCAAAACAAAAGTGCAGGTGTGAAAGCACCCTAAATGTATGCTGTGTAGTTTTTTCTGTGATTGGTAACATCGGAGACTGTAAGGGTCTGTGTTTGTTTTTTTATGTTGCATTTATTGTTTATTTTTCTAATTGCAGACGTTACAGTAGGCTATTACGCACTGCCATTGTTCTGCAGTATAATCAAACCATGTTCATAGGTTAGTAATGAACATTTATACACAAGTATTAAAGCATCTGTTTTGTGAGAAGTGCTTCGAACGTGAACGACCCGTACAACTTCACTGTGAAATTTCCTCAAGTAAAAATGATGTAATCTAAAACTTTCTGTTGTACACCATAACCACTAAAAGGGTACCCTTTAGGCAGTGGGAACGCATATATAATATATTATTTTGTGTGCAACAGAAGAAAGAAAATTTGGAACCACTAGAGGGAGTAAATTTTCATTTTGGGTGAACTATTCCGTTAAAAATTAATAAAAAGAACAAACATAAATCTCTACTCTGCTATAACTGTTATGCTGCATTATTAAATCTTCAATACCTTCAGCAATCCCATGTTTTCCAAAGAGGTTTATAGCTTTAGCAACGTTTTGAACTGATCTGCATAGCATCTGTTTCATTCCCAACTGACCAAGTCGTCCTGGAGAAACAGGGAAATAAAACACAATTGAAATATTGGACTCAACAAAACATTTTTTTTTATATAACATTTTGACCATGAAATACACCACTACTGACAAGATATCGATGCACTCAATGAATTGAAACATTTGGCCAATAAATAATTTATATTATGGATTATTTCCACGGGTGATCCACTTCTGAAGCATAGTGCTGGACAAGACTGGTTAGGGCTAATGCTTTCCACGTGATGTGGTATTTTGCACAGAGCAAAATGGTTTTAAAGAGTTCAAGCTAGGGGAAAGACAGATGTGTAAGAGTTTTCCAGCATGAAAGAGGACTTTTTTGTAAAGGATTTGAAATTTTTGTAAATAGTTTTTCAAAAAGAATAAAGCTATACATCTCAGTTTCCTTGTTTTATTCCATTAAGCTTTGAAATAATATTCATTGTCCACTGTATGAAAATTCTTTCATTATATGTATTTACTGTACTAGGTAGAGCAAAGTAACAAAGTTAAAAGTTAGGCCCGAAAAGGCAAGTGCCCGACAGAATTCAGCCCAAGCTCGACAAGTACATTTAGATTGACTGCTTTTTAAAAGCCCAAACCCATTGACAGCCCAACATTATTCAAATGTATACATGCACACAGCTCTTTTGCCTTTTTTCAAGAATGACTCATTTATATGCGTTTTAACATAATTTATTCATAACAAACAGGCCACTTGGAAGTTGGAACAAAGAAATAAAATAAGTCCTCTGTAACATCGTAACATCTCAGCACTCTACAAAGGCCTAGATACATACACTTAGACTTTAACTTGGCCAACACACCGATAAAAATGAGTCTTTCTTAACAAATGAAATTAAATTAAAGGGTTTTGGCAATAACGAAATTAAGATAAAGCCTCTGTGGGATTTGTTTCGTCACTTCTCTTCATAATCTGGCATTAACGCGACAGTGAAGCTGAATAATAAAAAGATAATGACAGCATTAGCTTGTATACTCTGACTACATTATGCATTTAAGGTTTAATTAATATTTACTTATAATTTAAAAATCCTTTACTCGCTAAGATTGCATACTGTTCTGGCTAATTTAGCATGTTTTTGGGTAAGATAGTTTGTTCATCTTCCACTAGCCAAGAACATCCAATTCATTTTCGATGACAGCGGTTTCAATGTAGTTTGTAGTTGTTTATCACTCTACCGTAATACGCAGTGTATAAGCGACCGCCAAAATATCTTGCCGGCTAGAATGACCATTCTTTTTGAACTGGCTGATAGCATGACCGCCGTCAAAATTCGCTCTTTTTGAACTCTCTGCCATCTTTTGTTTCACCTTTGCAGGGAAGGGTTTTCATGTTGTAACAAATGATTTGATATTTTCTTGTGCTAATCGAAATGCATCACATAACTGTTCATTTACTGTGCAAGCCAAAGCCCAAGCCTGGCCTGACCACGTCTAAAATAATTATATTACTTGTAATTTTCAAAATACTTTCAGCATTATCCATTTCCTGAAAATTCAGAAACTTACCAATCAAACGCAGAACAGCGGCTACAGAAACATCACAGACTGGGGATTGCTGAAGCCTTGATTGTGTCACCCAAGTATTCATGATGGGCCATAATTCTTTTCTATTCAATACAAAAAGAAGACATAATAGGTGTTAATTCATCTATTGTATATATTTTTATCAACACATTAGCAATGCATTGTCCTTCGAATAAAATACCATTCCATATGCAGTAAATAAACATACCCAATGACATAATCATGTGTCCATTTCCACTTCATGTGAGTACACAGGAGATCCAAGGTATATATGTATTCCCATGAAGCTGGGCAAAGATCGTAACCATGGCGATCATGCTTTTGGAAAGACAAATCTTTGTCTTCTTGAAGCGCCTTTAGTGTGCAGTTGATCAACTCATTGATGTTATCAGGAGGACTCTAGGAAACAATTAAGAAATAACTTGTGTAAATGGAAATATTAACCAACCTTATTATAAACATACATTTAAATGGAATATTATAGCATTGTTCTCTGCTTACTTTTCATTTATGTAATTCTTAAAACATAACCAACAGGGTCAGGCAGGACTAATTGGCAATGAAATGAATTAAATGTTAACCTAGAAAAAGAACAGGCCATGAAGCATACCTTTTCCCAATGAAGATATTTAGTAAGGCAATCCAAAATCCCTTCTTCCGATTTAAGCTTGGCCACTGTATGAATGGCTTTGCACAAGAAGGTCTTGTAGAAAAACACATTTGGCCATGTTGTGATCATGAACAAGATTAGCTTGGAGGCATCTGGATAATCTGTGCAAGGAATTTAAAATTACTCAGTCAATAAGGACACTATCTTAGCATCTTAAGTATACTTGAGAAAACGAAAACTTTTGCAATAAACTCACCCTCTTTGAGAATGTTGTATGCAAAGGCATGAGCTTTCTGATAGTCCCCTATCTGGCGACATATCCCAGTGTAAACTCTACACAGAGCTTGAATATGTTGACAACTCAGAATACTCCTCTCGGTTTTTAGTTTAGTCAAGATGGCAAACATGAGCTTTTCTGCTGAAGACTGAAAAAAAAAAGTAAATAAATAAATAAATAAAAATCTAAAATGTGTGCAATGTCCTCAAAGAACAAACTAGTAAACGAATAACAACGTAAAGGCACAATAGGTAAGATTGAGTCATTGAAATATCCATAAACCACTACAGCATTTGGTCACACTTTACAATAAGGTTTAATAGTTAATGTTAATTAATGCATTTACTAACATGAACAAACAATGAACAATACATTTACTACTGTATTTGTTTATGTTAGTTAACGTTAATTAATGAAAATACAGTTGTTCATTGTTAGTTCATGTTAACTCATGGTGCATTAACTAATGTTAACAAGCATGGACTTGGATGTTAATAATGCATTAGTAAATGTTCAATTATGATTAATATACGCTGTGCATGTGTTGTTCATGATTAGTTCATGTTAGTAAATGCATTAACTAATGAACCTTATTGTAAAGTGTTACCCAGCAGTTTATTTGACTTGTGCTTTCCCAAATGTATAAAAAAAAGTTAAACTCCCGAGAAATAAGCCGTTTTATCTAGTCACATGGACACTGTCCTGTGTTGTCGTACTAATGATGTCATAGACCCTCAATTTCCAGTTTGGTTTTATAGAAAACAGGGAAACACCAAAGACAATTTAACATTTTGTGCATTAAATTAGACTGCACAGAGCAGCAATATAACAAAACCTAAAATATATTTAGTATGGTAAAACAGTGGTGCTTCTTTGCCAAGTGATCATGACTGGAAGCAGTCAACAGTGGCATAATAAAAGCTCAGCTGCTTCTGTGCCATGTAATGCACATCTTTCATTGCAAATGCTTCAGCGGTGTCATTTCGTTTTGATGGCTTTCAGCCTTACTCTGCATCTTACTACAGTAGTTCCTTATTATTTGCGGGAGTTCAGCTGCCTTTCCACTGTACAATGTGAGAGAAGCTGGATTTTTGCGGTGTCCAAATTAAAGGAGTGCAAAAGCAAGAGCTCCTTGTGTCATCATGGTTAAATAAACGGATAACAGAAACTTATCTTAGATTGCAAAAAAGATTTGGAGGGAATGTGGAGACGAGACAAAAAAGTAATAAAATTTTATTACTCATTAATGAATAAAAATCTTTTTTTTAATATAGACTTTTTTTCTGATTTAAAAAAACAAAACAAAATAAACGCTTTTTCTCATCTCGCACTTTTGGACCCGCTGGTCCTGGACAACACTGGAATACATCACATCCAGTTGGCCGGTCGCATATGGTCTAGTCACAGGAGTTAAAATATTTTAACAGATCCGCAGCTCAAATCAGATCCGAATTTTTCACATATGGAGATGATCAGAACTCTCTGACTACTTTCCATTGGAAATGAATGACTTCCGGTCTGTCGCTTGTCGTGTGCAGTGGAAAGGTGGCTTTACATTCTAAAAATAACCCGCAATTAGCAAAATCTGCAAAGTAGTCAGCTTTATTTTTTAAAATAAATATTACAGTTGTTATAAGGCTGTTAAACCCATCACTGCACACTTTAAAACACTTTTCTCAGACAGTCATTACAATTTTCACACTTTTCTATCTTGTTTAAACTCTTTAAAGTTCAAACTTTTGTAGAAAAAAAGTCAATATTATAGAATAAAACCAAAGATCAAAACCTGTTGTCAGGCACAAACATTCAATGCTGTGGGCAAAAGGTTCATAAAGCTTTTTAGCATCTGAGTGAATTGTGTTATAGCGAAGGACCACTATACCATAATAATAAGTACTGAATTATTTAGCTCATTCATGAAAATGACTTCTACAGTGTACCATGGGATATAATGAAGATGACAAACCCCATGATTACAAATGCAGTCGTGCCTCTAGTGGTGAAATATATATATATATATATATATATATATATATTGTGTCTTTAAAAACAACAATACATAAAAATTAAATCTGAATAGTGCAAGGTGAACATACCTGATTTACACAAAAATCAGCAATTACAGCTTTTTCTGCATCAATCAAAATTGGAACCTGAGATATTCTCCCAAGGTGTATATGACTCTTGACAACTGGAAAAACATCAAAACAGGCCATTCCAAGTTTGTCCAGCGCATCTGAGATCTGACGATTTTCATCATTTGGCTTGTCTGGCCCCTTCTCAGTCATCTGTTCTTTTTGATTACTCGGCAGTCCTTGATGTAATTGAGTAGATTTTGTTTCAATAACCGTTTGATTTCCTGTCACTTGTTCTGCTGGAGAATCAGCACCAGCATGAGCAGGTAAATAGTTGTCGAGTTTGAGTCTTTTAGCGCTCTTTGGCAAAAGCATGTTCACACCTGTCCTTTTTGGCTTCTGTTCTGTTTTGGTGAAAGCAGTAGATGCAGAACTAATCATTTTATTTCCTGATATCTGGTTAACAGATGAAGGGGAGGTACCATTCTCATTTGCAGCTTGGTTTAGGTTAACATTACCACGGAGAATGTTTAAAGTGCGAGCTCGTGCAGAGAGTTCAGGATACATAGTATCCAACATTTGCATTGAATTTTCCTGAGAAGCAGAGGGAGGGGAGGAAGATAATGCAGATGATGGAAGCCTTCCTGGGACTGGAACAGCATGTTTTGGAGTAGCTGATCCAAACTGTAGTGGTGATGAAGGAACTCCACAAGATGACGATGGAGTTGACGGGCCTATTTCTGAGGCATCTGAAAGAGTTGAATCAACAACAGGCAAGGGCGGGATCGTATCAGGAGATGTCTGTCCATCTGAGGACAAACTTGATGCTGAAGTAGGCTTTAAAGGTGTGTGATGTCTTCCAAATCTTGGAGGAGTACTAGTAAGTGGCATAACAACTGGGGGTAGGGGTGGACCCATCTCTGTTCGAACTTTTTTAAGAGATAAAAATTTTGTTGGTGTAATATGAATTTTGCTATTGGAATTTGGAACAACAGAAACATTGGCGTCCTTTTCATAGGTAGAATTTTCTGGATTCAAAGTACCTTGACATGGTGTACTGGTATCCTCAAGACAATCAAGTACAGAATCTTCCAATGCTTCCTTATGTTTATCACTGGCCAAATTTGAGGCATTTTGGCTTTGGGAAACAGGTGACATCTCATCTGCCTCCTGATTAAATGTATTGTTCACTTGCATAGTTTTTCTTGGGCTTTCTGAAGAATTTTCTTTACATGTTTCGCCACTTTCTTGCTGATTGGCACTTCTTTCTTGCTCAGAATTTATAACTACTAATGGACGTTCAGCATTAGACTGTGTTTTGCTCTCAGAAAGAAATTCCTGAGGCTCATCTTTGGACATTTGCTTTGCAGTGGAACATTGCTCAAATTCAGATAAATTCTCCAACTTTTTTGGGTGAGCCCTTCCTTCAGACCATGCCTGATCACTAACCTCTCCCATCAAACCAAAGATTCCTTCATCTTTTGATGACAATTCATCGCTTGAAGTCTTTGAAGAACAGAGATCTCCATTTTCTCGCACATCCAAACTTTTCTTACATTTTATAGTCACTGAACTAATATCCTCAGATATATCTTCAGATTGAACAGCCTTGTCAGGCAGTCTGTTCTGAACATCTTGTGTTGATGAATCTTGTGCTGAATTAATTTCTAGTGATACGGAGATCTTTGACTCCTTATTCTCAATATTCTTTGACTTAAGACAGTTCATGTCACCCATCGAATTCCTCTTGACATTAGATGCGACAGAAACAATGGGTTGTTCCTGAGTTTTGCACTCTGAAAATTCACTAGAACTGGTGTCCACAATTTTAGATTCATTCCACTGACAAGGATCAGAGTTTTCCAACATGTTTGTAAATTTATCAGTGACTTTTGCATCTTCCAAATGTGCCTTTTCACCATTTTCATTCTTCAGTGGAAGCTCTCCCGCAGTACCTGTGTCACCATTTACTAAGGAAATTTCCACACTTTTTTCTGGAGCCAACTTTGCATGGTCACTTAGACTGTCGGCTACACAGCCAAGTGTTACTTCACACATATCCTCTGCCTCCACGTTTTGGCTCTCAGATGTTTTTTCAGAGTCTAAATTATCAACAGATACAGTTGATCTTGTAAGAGTGTCTGGACACAACAGAGAACATGTGCCCTCCTCTTCTTTCAGCAATGACTTCTTATCCCCAATATCTGAAAGTTCTAATTCTTCATGTAAGCTTGCCAGTGTTTTTGATTTTTCATTACTTGATTCATTTTCCTGTTGAGTATCAGACATTGGTTTGTTGTCATTCACATTGACCTGAAAGAACAAATTTAAACTAGATTACATGCATTCAAATTACATTCACTTGTTAGTGTTTAAATTAGCATAAAGCATAGCATAACTGATACCACTACATTAAGGATGACATACATTCAGTTATTCCAGTGAGTTACAACACTTTTGCAGTTGTGTTGTAAATTTATACAGAACAAATTCTTGGAATAGAGAATAAGTCTATTGTAGCTTTATATACAGTAAAATTTTGTCCCCATCATGTATATTTAATGCTCACTTAACATATCTACAATGACAAAGATTCAGAATGATTTGGTACAGGTTATCTGGTTAAGCGCAAGCAAAGTGAAAAATTAATCATTGAAATAAATTCAAACTTAAGCTGATGTATTTTAATTAGGGCTGGGTGATCAATCAAATTGAAATCACAAACATAAAGCTGCCATTGTTGTGCACATCTTCTTAAGAAAGCACTGAGTGTGATTTGTTGTAAATCTCCTCCAAAGGCCAAAGGGTGCTGTCATAAAAACTCACAAACCTGTTTAAATACACATGAAGAATCCCAGAAAATCCCAAGGGGAAAACAGCATTTGCTGAATAAACATAAATATTGATTTATCTTACAGGATTTATTTAAAACATTTGACTGTAGATATAAGGCGAGATGTAGTTCATTGACAAGTGATGCAAGCAGCTGTCATTATCGCAGAACTATTATCAATGTCATTGTAGATTGACTAAAGTAATTTATTTATTTTTTTTTACTTTTTATTTAAGATTTTTCTATATATTTATTTTGCAGAACAACCCCTTCCCCCAAAATTTTACCCCCTACACACGAGGTGATACCTAACAAAAAATTAAAAATAAATAATGAAATTATAATAATAATAAAAAATAAAGAAGAAATAAAAAAATAATAATACTAAAAAATTTAAATAAAAGGTATTGCCATCATAATTACTTTCCAGGGGATACTTCTGTACATCAAGTTACATTGTATTGCATAGTAGTTACATCAAATAACAGTCATGTTAAGGTGAGGTTAAGCAATCTCTAAATATACATATCCAAATATGTCGTAATACTTTTCCACCTCCTTAGAAAAATATCAGTTTTCATCTGTAGACATGCAGTCATTTTTTTTCCATTATATAGACCTGTTTTTTTTTTGCAACCAGTAATAATATCCTTAGGACAAATCTTGCTTCCTTATCAAACATCTCTTTGGGCAGTGCTTGACTAAAGTAAATTTGAACCCATTTTTTTTTTGCGTAGCTTATCAGTGTACTACAACCGTGGTAAACTGTTCTATCAAAAGTCATGTGCTTGAGGATTACTAGAACCGGCTTTACTAACAAAATGCACATTAAAATCGCTTTGATTCAAATCACCCAGCCCTAATTTTACATATGCAAGGTAAAAGAATTCTCAAATCATATTTCAAAACTAACTGTCCCTAATTAAACCTCAAATTACAAAGTTATTGAAAGGTAAATGTTCACTTACCAGCTCTAATGAGGGGCTATGCACGGGTGATAAAACTGGGGGCAAAGGTTTGAACCACTCTTTAAGTGCCAGCAAATCCATACAGTAATCTCCATGTAGCAGGCCTTCACAAGTCATTTCTTTTGAATCATCAGTCAAAGTGTCCACTTGTTCAAGTACATCTGAACTTACTTTCCTCTTTCTACTTTGTGTATTGAACTGTTGGACATTATTCTGCTTTTTGAGTTTCTGAGGCGATTCTTTAGGTCTACTGACTCTGGGAGGTGTTTTGGGCATGGAGAGTATTGAAGATTGAGTTTCTGGACTGGCTTTCCCAGGAGATGGATGAAAAATATGTCTTTCCGAAGGACTGTTTAGTCGTGGCTGAGAAGGTATTCGTTTCAACTGTGTGGTCTCTTCTCCTGCAAGTAAAAATGCTATGTTATTATTAAAATTTAGATTGGACACTTGATAACTATTGCTTTCCAGAAAGAAAGATTTAGTTCAAAGAAGAATGATTACCAGTGAGCAACAGTTTCTCTTGCGTTTTATTTGACGTTTCTACGCAATGCCAGAGCTCTTCCAGCAACATTCTTACTTTGTCTGAAAAGGAAACGATTAATGATGAAGCCATCCAGCCATTTTAAGTTAAAATTCAGATTCACTGGGTCATGGGAAGTGTAAATGTTTAAAAGCAAAGCATACCTTTGTCTATTGTTGGCTCAGAATCTGTCTGAGAAGACATGCTCCTTTTTTCTAAGATAAAAATAATTTTGCTTAATGACTGAAAACAAATAATAAACAATTTAGGATAAAAAGGAATGATCAATATATACCTTTATTAAACTCCTTCTGAAGTTTGTTGAGATTTTGCTGCAAAAGAAAAGGAATGAAAAAGAAAATGGAAATATGAAAATACCAAAAACAATAACTAAATGAGTACGGTTTGTTACTTTGCATTTCACTAGACTAGATCATATGTATTAAGCAAAATAATAACCTGTGTTGTGAACAACATTTCTTCAAGTCTTCTCTTCTCATTAATCAGAGCACCAACTTCTTTGTCCTGTTGACATTTTAGCTCTGTAAAAAATTATGAAATCAATTTAGATGTCATGCCCAAACTATGTAGGGAATAAAACTGATCATACAGTACATATTTAAATAGGTTAAGACTAAAATATTGGTCATACTCTATTTTAAAGTACAATTCACACTTAAACCAAGTATGACTTTTAACTCAAACTAATTAGCTTTTTTTAAACAGTTAAGTTAGTAATTAGGTGTAGGTATGGGGTACAATTAGAAAAGTAGAATAACATCAAGCAGAATATGTACTTTATAAGTACAAAAAACAGCAAATATCTAATAGGAAGGTGATAAACCCCTAGTTAACAGTGAGAATTTGTAGTAACAGAGTAGAATCTAAAGTAACACCTTTCAACACCAAAAGTTCGTTTTCAAGGTTTCCTTTCCTGAAAGAAAAACACAATACATGTACATTTTACTCTCAATTCTGCCATGTCCAATTAAACAATCACAAAAAATATGTACTACATGGTCAACAGATTATTAAAAAGCTGAAGCATTTGTGAAGAATTTGCAAAGAGGTATAAGTCACTGCTTGGAAAGACAATGGAATACAGAATATGAAAGCAACATCTGGCATGAAATGGACTTACAAAATCAGGGTTTTGGCATTCTCCAACTTCAGACTCTCATGTTCCTCAGAAGTCTGATGATATTTTCTGAGGGAATCCTTTGAAATCAACAAATACACATTTGAAATATATACAAGGATTTAAACAAAGTAAATATTAAAATAAGTGAGGCCAAAGACAAATGGTACATTAACCCTGCTATTTTAGACCCAATATATGATGATACATTACCATACAAAAAAACATTAAACTAATTTAAAAAAAAGCATTTGTTTTTTACTGACCAACGTTTTTAATAATACAAGAAAATAAAAAACTTACCTGCATTTTCTGTAGATCCTCTTCTAGTAATTGCTTTCCATTTTTGAGCTTCTCATTCTCCAGATCTTGTCCTTTTAAGGTGTCTGAAAACACAATAAAATTACACCAAAAATATTATTTAAAAATCAGTGATGTTACAAATCATGTTTACATCAAAAAAGAGCTGGATTTAATTGTTTGTATTTGTATAATATAATTCAGTTCTATCCTAATACAAATTGTATTGTATGTACCTTCAGCTTTTCTTAAGGATTCTTCAAGTTTTTCTTTTCTGGGAAGAGAAAAATAAAAACTATGAGTAAAGGACAAGCACATGATCATCTAATTCAGTGATCCAAAAACAGATTGGTCTTACAGAATAATTATCTGAGCATTTTTCTCTTTTAGTCTGTCCACATCTTTACATCTCTGCTGATTCAATTCCAATTCAGCCTGTTAAGTTAAAAACAAAAAGATTAATGAAAAATTTACATGCACATATTAACAGTCCCAACAGCTCTACAATCCTTAAATGCATCCTTACTGTACAGTACTTTATATACTATAACTGAATATACTATAATTGAATGCAGACGTGCAGTCTCAATTTCCCACACGAGTAAAGGTATGTCTGGTCTTAGAACAGTGCTTGTGCTTCTTAGATACGGAACTGCCAATTTTTCTATTCTAGTTCAAATCAATTTGAAATTGTAGGTGACCATACCCTTTAATTGTAACTTTTTTTTTATTACATTAGATGAATATATTTTGTTGACAAAATTACAATGATTCTGACAGATTATAACGATGATTCAATTTGGTCACTTAAAACAGCCTAAACTGGAGCTTTTTACTTTTAATGTTTCATGAGCTGTTACCTGAATTACAACTGCATTAATACAATTGTTATTAATTGTTTTAAAAAACACTAACAACAACACAAATCAGAGACCAAGGTCACAAAATGTTGTGGAAAAAACAAACATAACATTTCGTCATGATATTTCTAGGAAACTTGGAAAAACAAACAAAAAAAAACAACAACACAAACATCAGTTTAGGTTTAATATAGCTAACTACAGTTAAAGCAGAAGATTTTTTTAGGGTTATCACTGACACGTCATAACCAAAAACATAATTACAAATTAATAATCACTATCAGCAATAATTTTAAATCATGACAACTAAGAGGGATTTCTTATTTTGTTCTAAAGTTGGTATTGAGAAAAAGCAATAGCTGAGCAATAGCTTTCATTACTGACATTTGGGGATTGTTATGGTAAGACTTTGTGTGTAAAAACAAACCTTAGTATTCTCCAGCTCTGTCTTCATCTGTTCATACTTCACAGTCTGTTTTTCCAAAGGTTCAAGTTTCAGCAGCACCTCATCTAGCTGTCTGTGCAGTGTGCTGCTCTCTCTGTGAAAAACAAATCAAGTTTTGCAAGCACTCCACAACACAGTCAACAAACTTGACATGACAAAGATTTTTTCGTTTTCCCAAATAAAGTTTTTCTACTCATTTTCAACCTTCTAAAATATCAGTGCACAACAAACAACTGTGGATTGTATTGCTACTGATTTGTAGGAACTGAAAGTAAATGACCTTGTACAGCTACATTTTGGCTTTCATTTACTTCATTTGCAACATAAGTATAATATCTTTGCAAAAGGTTCAACATCACTAAAGTGTTCAACATTAAGAAAAAACTATTTAATCCAAGTCTTCAGAACAGGGTTATTATTGCATGCCACATCAGCATGTTTAAGCTTCCACAATGTTTACAATAATACGTCTGTGCATATACATTAGATTATTCAGTACCAAATCCAAAACTGAAACTAATCAAACAAACTTAAGATCACAGTCCACACATTTTTACACTCATATTAATATGACAGGGAATATGACAACCATTTTGCTTAAATGCACCAACATGTTTTGCCTATATTTACTGCAAAATGAATTTAAAAAAAAATTCAATTTTTAAAAGAGATGTATTTGATTATGCGGAGCACTGTATATGGACTTGCTTAAGATTAAAGAAATCTTTTTGCTCTGTAGATGCACAAAGTTTTTACTGGACTGGAATAACAAACAATAAACAATGACAGATTATTTCATTTGGGGGAAACCAACTCTTTAAGGGTTTGCCAATCAGACTTTTCGATAACAGGCGAAGTTGTAACTTTCTTTAATAAGCATCAGCTACTTACACTGATGTCATCTAAATATATATATTAAACAAGGTGTTATGTAATTGAAAACAAGGTCTTACCTTTGTGATTTCTGCAGCTGTGACTTTTTGTCAAGGAAAACAAAAATTGATTCATAGCAAATGTTCACAGTATACTTCTGTCTGTGTGGAACTCTGCACAGTTATCAGTACCTGAGGTGATCAGAAACTACATTTACGTGGACATCAGTAATCAAACTATTGGCTTTAATCTAGTTAAGATAATAAGACTAAGGTGTTTACATGAGTTGCTTTTTCAATGTTCAATGCCATTTTACATGTTATAGCACATAATTTGATTAATATAATTGCGTCACCGCGCTATCCCCATTTCCTCCGGAGTTTTATGCAATTACGGGTGTTTCATTTTTAATTTGTCAACTTTAACTGCAGTTTGGCACTTTCACTTTCATTCACGAACATTTCATGCATGCTCTCGCGTGTGTGAACTATCCTGTTGCAAAATGCGGCAAAAAGTCCTACATGATGGTAATAATTCAATTAAGGTGTTTATATGCCTGTACTGCACTTCAATAATGCAACTAAATTCGGCATACTGCACATGTCTTAATTTGATTTTTCTTTAGTTCGATTATGATCTTAATCTGATTAATCAAAAATTGCTGTTTACATGATTAACTCTTAATCAGAGTAGTGTCTTAATCGCAATAATATCGAATTATTGGTGTCCATGTAAACGTATCAGTTATGCTGTTGTACATCACACAAACAGAAGCCATTTCTAAAATACAAACTTCCGGATGTTAGGACAAAAACTGGAAAAAAAACACTGCAACACATCACATGTAGTTAGGACAGGGTGTTAGAATAAATCAGAAAGTATCAAATTAGATTTATTGAATTGTTTATCTATCCTTGATAGTTCATACTGTGTGATTGTTACTCGCGCAAACAAGCACCTATTTACCTGTGATTTCAGGCAGTTGTCGGCAATTTATCAAAACCTGTCGGCGAGTCAAAATAGGGGCTAAAATCATGCAGTCTGAACTCGGCATTAGTGTGGTCATGCTGATATTCAACAACTTCAAAAACTTGGATAACATGTTGCTACAATGCTTAGAAAACATGCTCAGTCTATAATATATTAATCTGTAAAACAAAAGACAGCATGACAGAGGAATATTTTTCATCTACATAGCTTTAAAAAGGATATCATCACACTTCTCTTTGTATTCAGTCAAGATATGGCTGAAATAAAAAAGGTGATGAACACTGTTAAAGTTCAAATTGTCAACAAATAAAACAGGTAAAGGTCTGTCTAAATGTGTAAAATATACATATATACATAAAATAAAAAACAAATAGCCATAAATTAACCACTTACTCTGTGTCGACAATCTTCTGCTTAAGAGTCAACAACGCAGCCACATATTCATCTAAGCTCTGCAAAACATAGATGTAGCATTAGCTTAACTTGTAATCAACAGCCAGCATTGTTGATTGCATTGTTGATTAAGACAATTCATCAAACTAAACACATCACACACGTAACAACAACTACCTAAATGAATGACATATTATAGCTGCACAATATATCATTTCGTAAGTCACATCTCAGAATCTGCAGTGCTGAGTTGGGATATAGTTGACCAAGGACCAAAGTTCTGAACATTGTGAAGTTACTGCAAAATTTAACCATAATAGAGTTTTTTTTTTTTCATTTGCTTGTGTTTTAATACCTGTGATTGTGACTGACTTTGCAGCAGTAGCAAAGATTTGTTGTATTTCATTTGTAAACAAAAAAGACTAGACAAGTGTTGGTTATTTGAGCAATTCCAGCGTTATAGATGTGAAATTTGCAGTAGAAATCCAAAACATAAATTCACATAGAAAGTAAATGGTAACATTAACATCTGTTTATATTTTCCAGAACAACTAACCACAAAGTTAAGGGATCAGAAAATTGTCAATCTGTAAACGTATTTGTACTTTAAATGGAGGAAAATAAGCATGTGACCAAAAAAGTATGCAAGTTTGCAGTATACAACATGCATTGTAGAAATTCTGTGAATTAATTGCACAACCCAAAGAAAATAATGCTAATCAAAAGGATAAGAGCTGACTCTCTATAGAACAAATATGAGTGATTTTATTTGATATTTTTGCATTTATGAGGTAAAAGCTTCTCTATGGATGTGACATCCGTTCTGTTATGGATGTGACCGATGTGAAACTGTCATTCGTGTGACTTTGGTAAATCAAATATTATTGCTTAAAAGCATTGGCGGAGACATTTTCGAACATTTCTAAAGTACTTTATAATACTTGCTTAAACAAAAAAATGAAGAAATGGTTTCGGTATTTTGGTGAAAACTTAAATTGTTTCATGACAAGGTTGACATTTGCATGGAATTGCTCATTTACATCTGATTATTACATTTCTGTACCTGAACACAGTTAAACTCTCCAGTTTCCACCAAACCATAAATCATGCATTTAATTAGCATCTTTGCCTCTCTCTCTCTCTCTCTCTCTCTCTCTCTCTCTCTCTCTCTATATATATATATATATATATATATATATATATATATATATATATATATATATATATTAAGGGTGTCACGATCCTCCAAATCCTCGATTCGATAACATTTTTGATTCTAAAGGCACGATTCGATTCTCGATTATGAATAATTAATTAATGACCAATTAATAATTTGTAGCCTACCGTTTAAACTACCTGACCTGCATGGTCTTTGTTTTACCCATAAACAAATCATACAGTAAATGAATAAAGGCAAGTTACACACATAATTACCACCTGTCAATCACTTTTTCTGCGGGACTCGTGAATAGGCAGTGATCTGTGTCGTTATAATGGCGTCGGTAAAAAAGACGCACAACCAACAGGAACCAGCCAACAGTATCTGAGGTGTTCGCTTAAATGACTAAGTACAAGTGAGTGAAAGATTGAAGCAGTCCTCTGACTGCCTGGACCTGCTGTCTCGAGCGCATGGCTGTGTGTGCGTCTGTGTGGTCACGTGATGTCCATTTTCAGAGGTAGAGAGGAAAGAGGGCTGCTCAGAAATGCTACACGCCACTGTGGATGTCAAATCGTTGTCGTTCTAAAATGCCATTTAAAAACAAACACAGTGTAAACAGGGCCTGAGTGTGTACTTTTCACGAGCGGATTTGCAATGGGGGCGGGCGGAGGATCGCCTTGCCGGTGTTGTCTATCGGACGAACCGTACTTAATACGTACATAGCAGAGCTTGCAAAACTGTGTTTTTTTGTCGACAACACGAACGTTGTCAACATAACTCACTGGAAATCCAAAATGCTTACACACCGGCGACTTCATTGAAAGAGGAGAGGGTTTAAGTTCTGTCGACGGGTCTCCTGCTTCTGCAGTTTAACAAGCACTTCAACAAGCCTGTTTTTTCCCGCTTGGCAAGCCAAGATGACGTGACATGGGGGCGTGGCAGCATCGACGATTCTATTTTTTGATTCGATAATCGAAATTGAGCTTAAATTTCGATCAATTTCGATCAAAATCGTGACACCCCTAATATATATATATATATATATATATATATATATATATATATATATATATATATATATAAATAAAATCATCCCAATCAGTTCAAATATGTACTGCTATTCAATTCTGGCGAAATTATATATTGAGGTAAAGTTGGTTTTATATTCACACATTCGTTCTGTGACAACTTGTGAAACGCTTCCTATATTGTTTACCATGGCACTTTGAATATTCGGTCTGAAATAACCTGCAAGTGTGACGTGAAAGTATCATTAACACTGTTTATTTGACTGTGTACAATGTTATACTTTGATAGTCGTTGACTGCTAATATGATTTCGCTATTAAGAGTTTGCAAATAATACTTGTATGACATATTTTTAAGGAGAAAGTCCAAATATGTGAATATAAAACCAACTTTATCTCTATATCCATATCGCAGAATAACAAAACATTGCAATGTCAGTTTTTTTCTTCAACATCACGCAGCCCTATTAAGAACAAACATTAATCAATCATTACTCCTTAACTGGTAATCTTGTTTGGATTTGACTATTATTAAATATATAGATATTATAGTAAACATTACACATCGATCCACTCAATCCCCATATATATTAATGCTAACCAAACAGATGCTTCATTAACATTATACACTTTGATTCGCACATGTTAATTATCAGTAGAGTAACTAAATAAGTACAATAAGAAAACAGAACAAGTGCAAAGCGTGAACTTAGAAAACAAACTAGATTAAAACCTGATTTAAAACAGTGCAGTTTTGACAGGTGCCAGATGTTGCTTCAGAGGCGATTCCTCTGGCGTTGGATTGATTCTCTCCTGGCATCATGGTAAAAACTCAAAATCACCAGCGCAATCGCACATGCAGCTTGATATTTATAAAAACGTCCAACCAAAACATGCCCATCTGAACTTTGCTAATACAAACGTTCCGCAGCACGTTCAATGAGGACCCCTGTAGAAAAGCCCCCAGCTGCCCGATGTAGACGCCGGATTATAAAGTGGTGTTTATTAGTAAATCTTTATAATTTGTCGTGTGGTGATATTTTTAGCAACATTAAGACATTTATGAAGCAAAGCGTTATCTTCTAAGCAAGAATCTAATGTGGTACGTTGCATATAACAGTAGAATAGAATCTAGGCATATTATGGGGTGGACCAGTGTTCCTCACGCGTCCTGAAAAATTCAGACAAACATTTCGATCGCCTCCTGCTGGTTTGGGTGTAGTGAATATAAGAAACGCTCCGTCTCCATGCACGCAATGTCATTATGAGGAGCCTACAGTAGGCTACATGGTTATTTTAATGTCAAATGTCGCGAGCGCAATGTCAGAAGGCGAGTGCATTCGTGGGTTCTTATATGGGTAAAGTAAGCTACAATTATTGGTGTGCCATTTATTATTACCGTTTTTTATTATCATTTATTGTTGTAAGGGATTGAAAAATTCATATATGGGCCATTAAAAGCAAAGATTTGGCACTTATGGCAAAATGTAATCTGGATGTGAGCATAATGTGGCCAATGTGGAAAATGATCAATTTGGCGCAAATGATGGAGGACAAATGTGGGCCACAGTTGGCAAAAATGAGGCATAACTTAGTCATTTAAGGGTAATCTGGGTCTAAACCTCAAGTGGCTCACATGTGTAGGTGCAAATGTGGCCCAGTTATTTTAAGACATATGTGGGCTACTTTTAATAAATATTAGGCACAGCAAGCTCTGGCTATTGTGGCTGTGAGCCTAATGTGGCCCAGAGAAAATATGGCAAATGTGGCTTAGTTATTTTAAAACATATGTGGGCCACATAGTGTCACCATCATGGAAAACAGTGTTTGCTTTAGTTGGTCTCATGGCCCTGAACCTCTTAATATAAATTTTCTTAAGGGCTGCTGTAACCTTTAAGAACTTTGCCTAAAAAGATTATTCATTACAGCAACAAGCCAAGTAAAAAACTTAACATAAAATTAGGTGAGGCACAATCTGCACATCTCCCAGACTGACCAGCTAAGACCAGGCTGGAAATGGTCAAAACTCCTCTAAAACCAGCCAAGTCTGGTCTAAGCAGTTTTTTTTTTCAGTTGGGTCAACGTCTTTGCTTCGACTTTTCAGTGTTACATGAAGCCTTGATTTGCCCACCACTATTCAGAGCACTATCGCTTGTCAAACAAACCAGGAATCACACCTGGGCATGGTATGGATAGCATAGTGTGAGTGCACCTCCTCAACAGGGATGTTCAAACTCAGTCCTGGAGGGCCAGTATCCTGCTGAGTTTAGCTCCAACTTGCGTCAAACCACCTGCCAGGACGTTTCTAGTATAGCTAGTAAGAGCTTGATTAGCTGGTGCAGGTGTGTTTGATTAAGGTTGAAGCTAAATTCTTCAGAACATTGGCCGTCCAAGACCAAGTTTGGACACCGGTGTTTTAAACAATGGCTGCGTCCGAAACCGCATACTTCCATTCTATATAGTACGCTAAAATCAGTATGCGAGCCGAGTAGTATGTCCGAATTCATAGAATTCGAAAATCAGTTGGCGAGAAGGACCCGGATGACTTACTACTTTTGGCAAGATTCTGAAGTGCGCATCCCATGCACGCTGCACTATCCCATAATGCCCCGTGAGAGAATTCATGAATGGAAGAGGCGACGCAACTGACGCAGGTAGGTCACGTGACCATGACAAAATGGCAGATGTAGTACATCTGAATTCCATTCATACTTTTCACATTCATACTGCATAGAGCGTACTTTTTTTTAATGGCCGAGTAGTACGTTTAAATTCAAATGCAGTACCTACTGAGTAGTAGACGGTTTCGGACGCAGCCATTGGCTCTACTACTCTCCTCCACAAGGGTAATATAAAGGGAAGCAGAAATATGACAGTTATTTCATGGTTTCATTAAAGTTTTTCCTGTTTTTACGATAAACTAGTGGCAGCTGTTCTGTTGTTCTGCTGTTTTTGTTCTACAGTTTACTTCCATAGTTTAAATTAACATTACTGTTGAAATAAATTGTTTACCTTGTGTTTTTACATCTCACAACTTCAATTAAATGATATATAAGGATTAATGATAAACAAATGAAGAAAATACTGAAGAAAAAAAAAAACAACGTGACAAAAAACTTTAAAACTTACTTCAGTCACAGCTTTGTAAGAAAATAACCTTAAAAACAACAAATTATTAAATCACAAAAATATTTTCAGATGATTAAACAACTCTACAAACAGCATCGGCAGTTACACTTTTTCAGTCTACACGTTTTTCTTGATATAAAGGTTTACATTTTAAGTCACCATCATGGAGAATAGAGTTTGCTTTAGTCAGTAATACGACAAGCAATTAAACAAATCTGGTGATGTTGAATTTGTTTTTAGTGAGGCAGAACTTGTCCTGGATTAATATAATATGATTCAGCCCTGTTATTCTATGATCAATCCATTATTAAATGTAACTTAAGATGCTTCCATGTGCCACTGAATTCCAAAGGTTTTAAGCATAGCTTGGACAAAAACAACTTGCTCTGTGGTATGCTTTAGATTCAACGAGACATCAAGAATCAGCGTATGAACCTCAACAATGGTGACAATTAACAAAATGAACAGTTTTACTCACAAACAGGCTACTAAAAGTCTCAACATAACATGAATCAAAATCAAATAATAAAACTGTAAGATTAATAAACTACATCATTTATTTATCCTGCAATGCATGATGGAATTTATGTACAGTGCCACACCCAGCATGCATTGCAGCGTGGAACATATTGTTTTCATTCTTGAGGTCTGAGCCTTTTTTGTTGTAACTGAACTGTTTTTTATTTGATTTTAAAACTTTGTAAAGGAACTAGATAGATTTTATTAATAAAAAAATACCAGGAACTTCAAAATAGTAACTGTAAATAAGGTGAACTAATGCACAAGGTCAGTTAATCGTGCCTTTAAATGAAGTATTTATCAGAATAAGTGTAGATTTATCTAAGTATTGACTTTCCAGCTTTTGTGTTATGACAAAAGTGATTTTAAACTAAGTTAAAGCAGCCAGAAGTTAAATTAAATTTAGATGTCATAGGTCAAGAGCCCAATTAAACCAGACACTCACCTCCATTATGGTGACACACACGCAAAACACCTAAACGTCTGCTAATGTTTCATAAGAACTGTATACGTTAAAGCAGTCAGTAATAAGTGAATCTGTTGATGCTGTTTGTGGAGTTGTTTAATGATTCTCTGCTGAGACTGAAAATATTTTATTTTAATTTATTTCCCTTTAGCTTAGCTTTTATTTATCAGGGGTTGCCAAAGAGGAATGAACCACCAACTTATCCAGCACATGTTTTACGCAGCAGATGCCCTTCTAGCCACAACCCTGCACTGGAAAACACCCATACACTCAAATATTTTTTTTTACTATCACCCACATTTTATTAACAGCTCAAATCTTTTCAAGCAATCCATAGCCTTGCACCATGTCAGTCAACCACACAGAGGTGCTCTTGTGCTGCAGTTTGAAGCACTGCTTATTTTATGCAACTGTGATCACCGTGACCACTCTCACACTTTTAAAGCTTTCTCTCATAAGCGTGGCTTCAAGTAACCTTTAATTTGATTAAATACAAGCTACATTTTGAGTTAATTTAATTAATGATCGTCTGTGATTGTGAAATTAGCCAAATAAAAGGTTAAAGCATTGCATGGCCATTCTGATTTACATGTGTTTATGTCATGGGAATCTGATCAATTTACTGAGTCAGTCAAAGGTTAGAGCAAAGCAAAAATCTGTTCACTGCAATAATACTGCAGGGTGACATCCATTACACACATAGAGTGAATGTGTTAGAGACAGTGCCCCCAGCTGTGAATTTTTATACCCCTCAGTGCACATACACTCAAGTTTGTGCCAAATTTAGGAAAGATACTTCTCTATTTCAAGGCTAATGAGTCTGCTCTAGTTTTCTAAATCAAATCTGGGTCTGAAAAAATGTCTGTGGGTTGGCCTTAGCAGTTACACCCAGGTTTTCTGAGCTGTCTATAAAATATAACAGATGATCACTATTTTTTTTTAAAGAGTTTATTAGTCTTGGGTCTCAAAAGCCTTTATTTTGTACATTTTCAAAAAGTCACACTGCCATTGATGTTGGCCTTAAAGTCAGCATGAAAAGAAAGTTAAGATTCTTAAGTCCTTTTTTTCTGCTGTCATGACGTACATTCTATTAAAACAGTGTTTGATTTAATCCTTTGGGTACAGACTGGATCGTTGGAAGGTCTGTGTTGCTAACAAAATGCAGGACAATTTGAATGCCAGTTTGCACTCAGTTGTGGAGGGTTTTACCGTCTGGTTCAGAGTGTTTTTATATGCCTGATGATGACGAGAATGAGGAGCTAAATTTTACGTATGGATATGTATCATCCATTTGAACTAGTGATGAAAAGTTTGAAGAAGTTTGTTAACTAGGCAGTGGCAGTTCTAGATCAAAGTAACCTAGAGGGGGCCAGGCAGTGGGCACACTTTAACATACATCACACACTACTTGAGGCAGGGGTCACCAATCTCGGTCCCTGAGGGCCGGTGTCCCTGCAGGGTTTAATTCCAACTTGCCTAAACGCACCGGCCTGGATGTTTCAAGTATACCTAGTAAGACCTTGATTAGCTTGTTCAGGTGTGTTTGATTAGGGTTGGAACAAAAATCTGCAAGACACCAGCCCTCCAGGAATAAGTTTGCTGACCACTGACTTTTATTTGATTATTCCGTTATTTTTATGCAGCACTCTACAGACTACAAGCCAATTAAATAACTTAAACGTAAATTAAACCTCCATGTTAAATTATCTGACAAATAACTTTGTATTGTAGTGGGATAACACATTTTTAACATTCAAGTACATCAAGGCTCATTTTTGCACCCGTCAACTTAAACATGTACAATTAAAGTCATTTTTTTGTCCTCCTGCTAATTTAAAATAAATTTTACCA